CTGGTTAATAAAAAAAATTTTCTTAAAGGAGATTAACAATTGAAAGTCGTATGTATGACTGGGACAGCAGAATATGTACTGATATTCAGCGTGCAATAAACCAACATAACCCCAATGTGAGTTTATAAATTCTATTACAGTGCTATGTAATTGTTGTGTTACTGTTTTTAGTTAAGCTTGCTTTCAGGAATACTGTCATTAAATACTGCTGACAACTATGTGTCCATGATTTACAAGTGATCTCACCCTTATGATAAACACCCAAGGTTATTACCCATTTTATATACTCACATATGATTTTCAGAAAATTAGATTCTGAAACATGACACAGCTAGTAGTAGAGAAGCGCTGGTATTCCAGTCCAAGTAGGACTCCAGAGCCCAGGCTCTTCCTCTCCCTCCACACTAGGCTATACCACATCTCATTTAAAACTCAAAATGCAGGGACGCCCAGGTGGCTCAGTCTCATTTCAAAATCAAAATGCAGGGATGTCTGAGTGGCTCAGTTGGTTAAACGTCTCCCTTTGGTTCAGGTCATGATTCCAGAGTCCTGGAATCAAGTCCCACATTGAGTTCGCTGCTACACGGAGAGGCTTGGCTTATGTGCTGGCTCTCTCTCTCTCATTGGTAAATCAATAAAATCTTTAAGATAAAAAAATCAAAATCAAAAAGCATACATGCAACTAACAAATCACTGAACATTAAAAAACATCAGGGCGCCTGGGTGGCTCAGTGGGTTAAGCCTTCTCTGCCTTTGGCTCAGGTCATGATCTCAGGGTCCTGGGATCAAGCACCACATTGGGCTCTCTGCTCAGCAGGGAGCCTGCTTCCCCCTTTCTCTCTGCCTGCCTCTCTGCCTACTTGTGATCTCTGTCAAATAAATAAAATTTTTAAAAAATTAAAAAATTAAAAAAAAAATTAAAAAAATCAAAAAGCAAGTTTCTTACGCTAAACTGAAATTCTATGTTTTCTTAGGGTAAAATAAGAGAGAATGGGGCTTTTCTTCTTTTCTTCGTGGCAAATGAATACCTAATCCAAATACTACATTTACTAAGTGCCAAAGTTTGTTTCCTTTTCATCAGGTGGTAACTAGGAAAAAAAAAGGCTTGAATATAGTCATTAATATTAATACAATTCCAAAATTACATAGCTTGCTTTGAAAGTATACTTTGTGCCCCATGCTATTAAGTGCTGATGTAAAATTACCCATAACCATTAAAAGAGGACACAGCATAAAAAGTTGCAAAAATGGTAAAGAAAGTGGTGTGGAGTAGCTGGCCCATATACTTGGTATTACTTTGTTTTCTTTTGAAGTTTTTGCTCAAAATAGAAAATGCTAATGTGCCATTTGGGGAAAATCCTTTTCAAATTCTCTAAGGAGATAGAGAAACTTTAAAGAAAAAGTTTTAAAAAAGGACCAAGGCACATGCTACCACATGGATGAACCTTGAGGACATTACGCTAAGTGAATTATGCCAGTCACAAAAAGATGAATACTGCCTGAGTCCACTTGTTTATCTGGAGTAGTCAAACTCCCAGAAATAAAAAGTAAAATATTTACGGGGTGGGGATGAGGAGTTGCTTAATTGTTATAGTTTCAATTTTGTAAAATGAAAAGGTCTGGAGACTGCACAATGTACACACACTTAATCTTCCTGGATTATTCACCTAAAAATGGCTAAGATGGTATATTTTGTTATGACTATTCTACCATAATTAAAAATTTAATTTTAAAAGAAACCAATGGATTATTTTTAATGTAATAATGATATTGTGGTTATGGCAGATTTTAAAAAGAAAACATTTAGAGATACATATATGCAAGTTGATTGGTATTTGGGATGTTTGTCCTAATCTTGCCCAGTGAAATAAAAAGGAACAAAATGACCCTTCATAGAAGGGGGAACCAATAATAAAATTTCCTAATCAAGAGAATCATCTATCATGAAAATATTTTATTAGAGTTTAAACATATAAAATGTAACATTTTAGCTAGAACTGATAAATGTGACACATAACTTATTTGACTTGACAGAAAGCTGCTGAAAACCAGACATGGTTTACTGGGCTCACGAAAAACTACATGGAGAAAATTACATGAACAGGCTAGTTTGCTATGAAAACAATGTATTTTTATTAAAGTAATTAAAAGTCAAAAAACAACAACAAAAGGGAAATTCCACAACCTTTGCAACTATATAATCTTTATGTAGAAAAACTATAAAGTGACAGTCTGGAAAGCAGCTCCACAATAAACTTAATCCTTACATCAAGAGTAACTAAATTATGGAATCCGTTCACCCAAAAGAAACTGTCTTGCTGTAAAATATTTCAGCTGAGCTGATTTCAACTATATTATTCTCATTCCTGAAAAATTGTCTTTCCTGATATTTCGAATCACCAGAGATGTAACGTACAAGAGCCTGTTGAAGTAAAAGGAGAAAACAAATACTCCAAGCACAATTACATGTGAAAATGAATGAGGGCATTTTATCTATAGAGCTACAAAACTATATAAATAACCAATGATACACATAATCCATTTACACCAAAGCTCCATGAGGTGGTACTGAGTAAACACTGAGGCATTGAATTTTCAACAATGGAACATGGCTCACTCTGAACAGCAGCACATTCCCACCTTTTAGTCTATTGTCACAACACTTCCCCTGGGATCTGCATTTGGGGATTATCTAAATCCTGGGAAGTTGATAACAAAAATGAAGAAAGAAAGCCAAAAGGCAACAAATTAAATACCCCCTACAATCTGTCTAAAACCTGCATGTGAAATAGGAAGAAACCAAGCACTTTGAGAGCTTTTACAGTCATGTGTTCTTTTCAACTTAAGACTAGTGTCTTCATTACTATCTGAATTTTCTGTAATTTGCTTTTCCATCAAAGTATAAAAGGAAAACGACAAAGAAAAAAGCCCAAATTTCATAAATGTACTGTCTTAGAAAAGTGGTACTATTTATTAAAAAAAAAAACAAAAAAACAAAACAACCTTCTCTGTTGAAGAGATCACACTGTTGGGGTCATCAGAATAGCTTAAGCCACTTTGGCAATACAGGGATTTATTTGCTCTTATTTTTTAATAATCATAATGATAGGCTATTATCAGGGCCACATAAATTCAGAATTATGTGATTGCAAAGGCAAATGAGTAGAACACAGCTAATAAATTAAATCATGGTTGGAACCTCTTAAAAATATTTTCAAGACTATTAAAATCTGGGGGGAAAATACAGAAGTCATAAGCAAGTATTTCTTCTAAGATTCTTTAATTGGGATAAAAGTCTCAGGGTTAGCTCATAGGAATGGTCTGCAATAAAGAAAAATTAGGTCATCAAAATCTAATAATTTCTGCAAACTTTAGCAGAAAAGCCAAGAACATTCTGAGCATCATAAAAGCATTCTTTTGGGTCAGGGCTTTTTGTTGTTTTAGTTCTTTAATCTTTTAACTTCTCAACATGTTACAGTTTAGAAATGCCCATATGCTTAACTAATGGGAATAAGGAAATACAATGTCACAGAAAAGATCCACAAACATGATCCTTTTCAATCATAGGTCTCTCTTTGGTAAGAAATAGACCACCATTTATTTACTTTCTCTCAGTGTAGGAGGAGATTAAATGGTATTAACCTGGTAAGAAATCCCTGTGTATAAATGTTAGAGGGTAAAGAGTTTAAGCCACACTCTTTGTGAAAAGAGTAGGTAACCGAGGATTTCCTCTTACTCGTAGCTATGATAGAGCAAAACCGTCTACTACAGAGCTGGACCAGGTTATTTCCTGTGACTAGAAAGTTATCCTATAAACGTTTTAGTCAACCTGAAGAAATTCTGCTATCTAATGAAGAGTGCTCTTTAGATGTGAAACATGAATAATACGCTATTTTTTAAAAAAATGGTAAAGTATCTCTCTCCTTAGAATTCACCAATTTCTGATCTTGTTAAACTTTCATCCATGAAGAATTAAACAGGCTTATTCTAGATATTTTCTAAGTAAAATTGGAAGTAACCATTTGCAATTCCAGAAAAAAAAAATCCAATACAATCTAATACACACATTAGTAAACTTTACAGAACACATACTCTATCAAGCCTAAGCAATCCCCACCCACCCCCCCCAAAGGAAGCCAATCTAATCCTCCTTAAAATATTCGCTGTACCTGGATCCACATTAAAAGAACTGCTAATTCCACTGCAGTAGGAAAAATACTACAAATAAGCACCCAAAACTGACCTAAGAATTTCTACTCACTCCTCCTTCTTCAGGATATTTTTTTTTGAGAGAGAGAAATAAGCATTCCTTGTAATTTGACTGCAAAAATCATGACCTGCCATATTGTGTCTAAGCCTATACTAGATACCAACTAATTATGGAATGCCCAAATCACCAGGAACTCAACATTATTGTTATTTTTTATTTTTTTTTTTTTTGCAAAGAAAGGTATATATAAAATTTCCTCCCCCCAGGCTAGCAACAGGGGAGAAAAAACACTTGAAAAATGGCTATATCTGTAGGTTTTTAAAAACCTTTAAAAATGGCTGTATCTGTAGGTTTTTAAAAACCAGCACCAAATGTTCACATTTAATTATTCTAAGCAACATTTAGGAATTAACATTCCCTAACATTATGAACAAACAAAAGAGTGAACAATAAGGGAATAACCTTGAAGCAATATTGCATGTTGGTAAGAACCATTCAGTCCAATAACCGGATTGGCTCATTTATAAAGCTGCTGTAGGTTTGCCCAGTTTGGAAATAGCACACCTCACCACCAGCTAATATACCTACTTCCCACATCATCTGTGCAGCTTATTTTATTTTATAACTAGGCAACATTAAATAAAGCAACTTGAAAATATAGTTTTTAAAAAGGTAACTCAAAACAATCCATTATTAGAATGGTTTTCTATGCTATTAAGGGGGGAAAAACCAAAACATCAAAGCCACTGCATAACGTGTCCAAAAAAACTGAAAGATTCACAAATAGTAGTAGTGTCAGTTCAAGACTACATAACCCTTTATTACATTATATTGTAGCAATATTATGATCAACATTATACAAGTTTTCTTATTTCTTCCTCATACTGCAGCAATTTTATTCCCATTGTGTAACAGATTTTAACTCTGCAAATTGTTTAAATCAACTTTTTGCACCTTGAATTTACAAACCACTGGATGTTAAGTTTCCTGAAAACTATTTTACTTTTAAGCTTTACTTAAAGGTAAAGCTAAAACTCAATTCTTAAAAAACAAACAAAAAAAAACCAACTAAGCTGCTTTAAATAGAACTTTGTAGAAATATACTGATACCAGTGTTTGAAAGATAACCTACACAGGGCTATAAAAGGGCAATTATCATACAAAAAACTTCTACGGCCAACTCTTGTTAGAAAATTTATTTTATAAATAAACTTCTTTCATGATAGAAGATGAAACCAAAAGATGGAGAGTTAATTTTTCCCTAAAAATAAACAGTTGCTCAGGACACAGGCTGAGTACACTGAAATCATAGTACTTCTTTGATAAAAGAAAAAATATTTTAGCCAGGCATTCCATTAACAAAAAGACCATGCCACCTTTCCTTAGATTTTTGATCTCTGGGTACTAGTATTACCCAAGATAGCCTTATTGAAGAAGTTGGTTGGCAAACCTACCAAATAGGAATCTCAGGTCCCTTAATTTTGATAGTCATCTTAGTAAATATAAAACTTTAGCTACTTGAACAATGGAGCTTATAAAGTGCATTAAGTATAAGAAACACAACAGAAGTGCTAAACTCACTTAGTAGGACTTTAAGGGCCTTGATGTCACCAATAGGGCAAAAAAACAACATTATAGTTTTCTGTTCAGATTTTATTTGAAATCTAATTCAAATTGTCAAAGCTACAAAAGGGGGGAAGACATCTGTATTATTTTTGCTAAGTCACAACATCCTAAAACAAAATACTACTACTGCCAGCAGATCCATTATACACATTTCTGATGAAATTCATTAGCACAATAAAAATTTCATCTTGAGAAACAGCCACAATGAAAGTAATTTATACAATATAAAACAAGGACAGGTCTACAGATGCAGTTACTCATGAGTTTACACATGCATTCACAAACAAATAAACAAAAAATCCAGGAATGCTCTTTCATTTGATTTTTTGTTATTTTTTTTTTTTAAAAAAACAGACCATTCAGGCACAAAACAAAATTGCATTTCCAATAAGTGACAGCATCTTAAAAATTTATGTCAGTGTTTGTTTTTCTTTGACTTTTTATGAGACCTGTGTGGAGATCGGGACTGGGATCTGGATTTCTTCCCTGACTTTTTAGGGGATCTAGACCGTGATCGCCTAGACCTTTTAGGTGTCCTCGAACCAGATGGTGATCTGAGGAAACAAACAGAAACAATTTATCAAAGTACTCATATGATCAAAATGGACCATCCTTCAATTGTCTAAAATAATCCTGAACAGAGCAAAATGAAAGTCAGAAATAAAAAAGGCTGTAAATTTCCCAAATTTATACTTTGCCTACTTTATACATACACACACACACAATTTTATACCTTCTGTGCACTGCATCAATCAGTGGTGTGCTTGCTTAAAAAAGACTCATTCCTGAGCCCTACCACTGCTCTATTTAATCAAAATCCCAAGAAGTAAGGACTGGGAATTTGCATTTTTAACAAGCTCCACAGGTTATTGATAAACCCCGAAGTCCAAACCTCTTCTACAAGGTAAAGTTCAAAACGGCATCTGAGATCATTCACAAAATTTTTTTCAACACAACAGTGTTGCAGCCTATCTTCCTGAAGGAAAAAGCACCAACTACTACGTATCTTTCAAGGGAATCTTTTAAGATACCATAATTCTGTTAAGTGCAGTTCATGAAGATTACCAACACAAATAAATACGCTTTTTATATATGTGCAAGTGCCATTTAGAAAAGGAAAAACTTATCTTTCATAAAAATTTTACTAAAAATGGTCACAAAAATAAATTTTTAGGCTATAAAGCAGTTTTAGTTCTCAGGAAAATTCCAATATATAGCACCAAATGAATAAAACATTTCTTAACCACTTTTCTGGAACTATAAGGAAAAAAAAAAAAAGTACGTAACACACATTTAAAGTACCCACTGAAGAAGGGTATTTATTTCCACAAATCTCTACCCAAGAACTTGCTAATAAGATGCAGGGGCAGGAGGGAGGGGGTAACGTATTTTCCTTTCAACCTTGACAAAACCGAAGAATATTCTATAGAAACTGAAGAACAGAATGAAAAGTAAAGCAGCTCCCCTTAGTCCACAGAAAACACTGGATATAATGTTTAAAATTCTTGGCTGGTCTTTACTTGTTGGAAGCCTTCTTGTGCTTTAGTCATGAGGAGACTGGGGTGGGGAGGTGGGAAGGAATAATCTAAAATGGAAGTGTACTTCTCTGGTTTTCTAAAGCCCTTTTAAAATGGCTGCCAGCCAAATTATTTTCAAAAACTGGTAAAAATGACAAGGAAACTGGCATTTGAAATATTACAAAAAAATAACTTGCATTTACCTTTTGGCCTTTTTGCTAACATCTCTAGGAGAATCTTTGTGAGATGACCTGGATCGTGAGCTCTCTTTATGAGATCTTTCTGAACGCTCTGATCGCTCCGATTTGGGTGAAGGGGATTTCACTCGTCTACCACTGCTACTGCGAGATGGGCTAGGGGATGTGCTGTGTCGCCTCTTCCTAAGGAACAAAGCCCCCAAAATATTCCATAAGTGAGTAAAGGATCAGGTATTCATTTTCCTTCTACTGAATTAGCTATTAATTCCTATCAGTTTACACTAACTATTTTCACTAACCTTGTTAATGTTATTTTCCAACAACATCCAAAGCCCTTTATAAAGAACAAGAAAGTCTCAAAGACATTTTGATCAAAACAAAAACTGAATCAACTAAATTGGAGTTTCTTTTGCTATACAAGACTGGGACAATGGATAAAATTTCATTAAAGTCTCTGGTTAGATAACAGTATTTTTTTTTTAATGTTAATCCTCCAAACTTGAAACTTTTATTGTGCTTATGTAAGAAAATGGGGCATCATGTTGGCAAGTTTGCTCTTAAATGGCTGGGAGGAGGGAAAGGAAGGGAGAAAAATTTATGCAAAAGTAGAACTATTTCAACATTTGTTGGAGAATATGGGTGAAGGATATCGGGGAATTCTTTACATTATCTTTGTAACTTTTCTATAAATCTGAAAGTATATCAAAATAATAAAAACCAGATAAACAAGTGGTAAATTTAGCATTTAGCCAGTCAATGTACTATTTTATTTGTACTTAATTTTACAACAGTATTATAGTATAATAGTATTACAGTATTTTACAAATACTATGTTATTTGTAATTATCTATAAAGTAACTAAGCCAGAATTAATTTATTTGCGTTCACTGGGATATTAGAAAAATCTCAGTTAACTAAAGCAATTTTCTCTATTAAATGAGAGATTTAGGAACTGTGAAAGTAAAATAAAAACTAAAAGAGAAAATGATTTTGATTAGAATGAAGACAAAGTGAGGAGTGGGTCCCTATGGCCTATGTACACAAACTCCATTTACACAGGACTGGGAGACTCAAGTTTCTGCTACAAAGGTAGCAGCCTCAGCACAGCACAGAAGAAAAGCTTATACTAGAGGCAACAAGGAAGATGTAGCAAGCCTGTTTAGTTATTTAAACCTTAGGGTTGATACCTAATATGGTAACTGAATTCTTGTACTTAACTAAGGCTAAGGTACCATTTGAACCATGCAATGGGATTATGTCCTAATTAACCAAGCCAAGTGCCAACCAACTGCCCCATTTCTCAGTTAATTCTGCCTCCTACAGGTAGGAGCCAAACCTATTTATCATGAAAAAAAATACTTTTCAAGTTTGTTGGCATCAGTGATGAAAACATTACAAAATGAAACATCATCCCAGAACTTAATTTATTTGGGGGGCAGGGGGGAGAGAAGGCACGTAGTAATGTCATTTATTTTTTTTCTTATGTTCAATTAGCCAACATATAGTATATATTATTAGTTTTTGATGTAGTGTTCAAAAAGCAATACAGGCATTAAATGAGAAATGTATACCTTTCTTTCCTTGTTGGAGTACATTCATCTTTTTCCTTCTTGTCTTTGGATCGAGATTCCAATTTTTCTTTATCCTTTTTATCTCTTTCTCGTTCTCTTTCTAATTCTTTCTCTTTCTCCTGTTTTATTTTTTTAAAGAAAGAATATTTAGTCATTAAAAAATACCAATCTGGGTTAATCTCATTTATGCAATAATGTTTTACTTTTTAAATCACTACTGAAGGTATAATGCCATTTTTTTAAAAAAAATACCTACTCTTCCAGGAAAACTAGTTATTTTTTCTACTTATGCTGACCAGTTACTGAGTCCCTACCATAGACCAAATAATTACTAAACAACTTTCCATATACCATTGCATGTAATACTTCAAAACATCCTTAGGAATATTACTAATATCCTCATTCAAGAGATGAAAAATGAGACTCAGAAAGGTTAAGTACCATTTCATAGTCACACTGGATGGTGAAGTCAGGATTTGAGTCCAAGCTCTAGAGCAGGATTCTTAACTACTTCCTCTGTCCCTCCACTTAAAAAAAAAAAAGGAAAATGCCAACAATACACTGCCCCTTCTATCTTAAACTACCATAAAAGTCAGTTGTGATTCTTTAACAAGTTGATTTAATCTAAGAGAGCTCTTTCCAAAGCAACAGGCTGAAAAGAAAAAGTTATTCCCAATAATCGCCCTTCAGAAAATCTTAATAACAAGTACCATTTTTAATGGAAATTTTATATCCTAATTTATAAAAGTGCAAACTGACTACATGACTATACAATTATGTAAACCAGAAAGATGACCTATCTGCTTTTTCCCACTGCTACAATCGCCACTTCTCAGTTGAAATTATTTGTTGATAATATAATTAAGGGAGTGGCTACAGAAAATAAACCCATAAAGCCAACTTAGCTCTTCATTAATAGGAATTTAATTTCTCTATGATTTATATGCATCAAGAAAGCTATCTGGTTGCTGATAAACAGCCTATAGCAGACACTGCAAACAGAAATACTCTTAACAACAACCAGATAGTAAATACTTTCTGCTCTGTGGGCCACATACATTTTCTGTCCCAGGATTCAACTCTCTCATAACAGTCCAAAAGCCACTATCGATAATACGTAAGTGAAGGCACATGGCTATGTTCTAATAAGCTTATTTAAAATGAGGTGATGGTCTGTGAAGTGATGAGTCTCCTGACCCTTGGTATATACCTTCAAGAAACACATCCTCCTCTCCAGTTACAACCATGGAATGCAAAGAGATTAAAATGACATTACATGCATTACAATCATCAGGACCAGTGAGTATCTCAAGGTTTAGTCTTCCATGCAGATCAGGCACCTGCCACCAACTCCAAAAAGACTCAGGGAGTACAGATACACCTTTTTAAAAATGTGATTTTTCTTTTTTTGAAATACAAGATTTAAAGTACAGATTTAAAAGTAATGCAGGGGATGCCATCTTCCTCTGGTGATCTGTAGGAACTATTTTCCTAATTGATAATTTTATAGGAATCAAACTAGGTAAAATACTTAAAATATTTTAAACAATTTAATCCTATAAAAGAGTAACATTAGCTATTATCTCACAGTCCTACAAAATTGGGGCTATTGATCTAGTTTCACAGAGAACAGCAGGCCTCAGCAACTTGCCTAGGAGCACATAGTGAAGGCACACAGGGAAGGGGGGCACCAAGACCACACAGGTGTGTGCAGCACTAAAGCTATCTGACTACACTGCTGCTCCCATCACCAGTACTCTGCCATCAATAGCTTTAGTGAGTCTAACTCTGTTCTAGCTTGTTCTTATTTCTCTCTCTCTCTCTCTCTCTAGTCTTTTTGCAATGATAGTCAAGATATGGGTAAAAATTAATAGCAGTCCCAATAAAATTCCAGGGTTCTTTCAACAATTAACATGCATTCTAAAATTCTCTGTATATAGCCACATATTTTTTACGCATAAAGAATTCAAGGCTTGGGGCGCCTGGGTGGCTCAGTGGGTTAAAGCCTCTGCCTTCGTCTCGGGTCATGATCCCAGGGTCCTGGGATCGAGCCCCACATCGGGCTCTCTGCTTAGCGGGGAGCCTGCTTCTTCCTCTCTCTCTCTCTGCCTGCCTGTCTGCCTACTGGTGATCTCTGTCTGTCAAATAAATAAATAAAATCTTAAAAAAAAAAAAAGAATTCAAGGCTTACAATTCACTGATGAGGTATTCTACTACTTGGTGTCCCTCTTTGGAAACAATGGAAAAGGAGTCCTAAATCAACTTCCCAAACTAATTCCATCTTTGTCTTTGTGCCACTGCTGAGGGTTGCTGGCATTTCACTGTCACAAATGTTGAAGTTTCATAATATACAGTCTTCCAGTTTTAAAAGCATGCTCTTCGCAGATTTTCTAGTTCACAGGTAGCATATCCAGAATAATAAAGTAGTGTGCTGTTGCCCTGAGACTTTTTTCCAAGTTGAAATAATTGCAAAACATCAAATTTCAAATGTTCCTGTCTACCAGTATTCAGCATTTACACATGAAATGATGTAATTTGAGATATACATTTCCTTAAGTATACCAATATACCAATATCCTAGTAGTCAAACAAATAACTTTGGAAAATGCATATTATTGAATATACTTATTCCTTACTCGTTGAAGAAGTTTATCTCTGTAATGTTCTACTTGCTCCTGAAAGCTTTGGCCTGGTTTTTTAGGTCTTTTTCCAGATTCCAATTCATCCTGAAACTTCATAACTTTGAGCTGTGAAAGAAGATGTTTTAAAAATAAATCTTTTCATCACTATAGTTTTTTAAGTAGTGCTTTACTTCTTAAAAAAATGTTTTTCCTTTGAAATAAGTGTGTAAAAAGAAAAAAACAGAAACACAGCACAAAGTAGTAACTGATTAGAACTCAGTAAAAAATATAACATCAACATAAAGCTCCCTTATCTGAAAGCCACTTGTTAGAGAGCTCAACCATGCAGAATTCAAGTGATCACATGTGGGCCCACATGCTCTCTATACAGCCACATGAGATGACTCAAAAACCCATGAACTACTATAGTTCATGCCCTTAAGAATCTACTTATTATCTCAGCACAAAGATAATGAATTTGCTATCTGGCTCCCCAAATGTGAAAGGCAAGGCTCAGCACAACCTACTTTCTACAAGATAGGACAGCAGGCACAACACAAGATACATAACCATTTTTTTTAAAAGAAGCATTCTTTACAGTTCATGTAGGACCAAACACAGAGCTGTAGAGTTTGAAGGTTTCACTCTATTTACAGTATAGTGCAATCACTGAACATCAAGACGTTAAGAAAAGGTTAAACCACAGTAGAAATATAGAGTACATACTAATAAAAAAAAAAGATTAGAAAACCTTCCAATTCTGTTTCTTGTCATTTATCCATATGAGCTCAAAACTATTCAATTCACCACTGTTTGCACATGTATTATATATTTTGATTATTTTAATACATATTGTTATGTTAATACATATTCTCTATAGGTTCACTTATGTTACATATATAAATATATACTTTATTATCTGTTATATTAATATAAACATAATTATATAATACATATTATAAAAATATATATTTAAATTATAATCTAAAGATACATATGCATCTTTACTGAACTAAGGGAGAACAAGTAAGATGAAATGCATGAGAACTCAGAGGATGTTGGAGGTGGACACAGAAAGCACATACAGATCCACTGAATTATAGTGCCAAACCTGTCCACCTTGTTTCACTCAAAGAGGGGAAGAAAACACTCTCGTCTAACAGAATTATTGTATATGCAAACATCTTAACCTATTTTATTAAGCACTGATAGGTCCTTTAAATGGACTAAATGTTACTATAAATGTTTCATTTTTATTTGGAAACAAGACCTCATTTGTTTTAGGTCCCTCCCCCCCCACTACAAATGAGATTTTCCAACAGAATGGCAACAAGTTACAAAAACTTTCTTCCATTCAAAGTGTTACTTTCACTATTTTTGACTTCATGAACATTTCTCATACATTTCCCAATTTTTGCCCTTTTTCTCCTTCCACTTCTATAATCAGGGTCATTTATAATCAGAGATTTGAAGTTCCTGCCTCCTTCAAAATGCTTAAAAAATCTTTCCATTTTGTTGTTTTAATGAGGACTACATTTTAAAACAAAGACATAAGGGTAAGAGAGAGGGGAAAGGGGGGGAAGAAATGTAAATGTCTCACCTCACCACTGCGTGTAGCCTCCTATGACTAAAGTGACTCCGTTCTACAGAATGCATTTGCAGCAAATCAGTTTAAGAGCTAAGCACCCAAAGGTCAAACAGACCCCAGTGCTACTTTGGAGAATGAAAGGCATTCCTTAAAAATCTTTTTAAAAATCATTATAAAATCCTTATAGTACCCGCTCATGTGGCCTAACTCAGGAAAAACACAAGTCCAGGGCACCCAGAAAACAGGTGACAAAAGGTCCCAACTCAAACGAGAACAGCCCAGGTAATGGCTTGATTGCCAGCTAGCTATCTCCCTGTTGCCCTGGGACAATCACCTTCCAACTCAACTACCCTACTTTTTCCTCTGGGACCAAGGCAAAAAAAGGCCTTTCTGCTCCAACAACAAAGAAGACACCCCCCCACACACCACCAACCAACCCATGCGTTCCACACCTCCAACCTTGTTGGTAGAAGGGGGGATGCAAACAGAATAAGAAAAGACAACTCCAACACAGGTCAGGCTCTAAGCAGTTATCTGAAAGATTAAGAACTTCCTTCCAGCCAACACCAGTAATACTCTATGCCTGCATGTTTTCTAAGTGCTTTGTGAAGAATGTCAGTATTTTATAACACAAATTCTTTGGTTTTATTAATCCCATACTAAAAAATGTTCAGCTATATAAGCGAAACCAGTCAAAGACAAATACCATATGTTTTCACTCATACGTGGAATCTAAGAAACAAAACAAATGAACAAAGCCAGGAGGAAGGGAAAGAGACGCAAACTAAAAAAGACTCTTAACCATAGAGAACAAACTGACAAACCGACAGTTATCAGAGGGGAGGTGGAAGGGAGGGATAGGTGAAATAGGTGATGGGGATTAAGGAGTACACCTATGATGAGCACCAGCTGGTATGGCACTGCTGAATTACTGCACTGTATGCCTGAAACAAATATTACACTGTGTGTTATCTAACTGGAATTTAAATAAAAACTTAAAAAATGTTCAGCTATAGATATCTTTATTACAATATATTTGAAAAGTTTTCAAAAAAAATAATTTTGTTATAATAATATATAGTAATATAACAACACAGAACACTATAATAATGGCGCTATATATATATATATATATATATATATATATATCCCTATTGAACTAAGGAAGGACATAAAAGTTGAAAAGCATAAGAACTTAGAGAATGCTGGAGGTGGAGGTGGAAAGCACACAGAACCTGGATCAAATTTAGGGGCAGAAAAGAGGACAGGAATAAATCTCATGAGCCCTGAGTTCTAGTTCAAATTTGCCACCAATTGTGAATCTTTATTCCATACAACTAAATCTTAAACAATGGAGAAGAATTATTTTAAAATTAGGAATGTGGTTCACAAGTTAAATCTCAAAAGGGTAGTAAGTTGTGAGAAGTAGGCACTACATGAACAGGAGAAACAATGAGAGTATATTAACAACGGAAAGGCCAGACAATCAAAGAACACAGGAAGTATGGAAATGGATGTATGTAACCACACACACACACACAAACATAGAGACAGATACAGTGTGGAAATAAAAATGTTCATAAAAACCATCCAAGTTACCAAAAAGTAAATTATGTGGTTTTCTTCTCCAATTTAAGCCAATAAGGAAATAGAGTGTTTAAAAACTATCCAACAGTCAGTTTTGGCATTTATAAGGGATAACTTCACTATCAAGAAAATGTATTTTTATTCAACCCCAGCAAGGCAGAGTTCAGTAAGGTTGGGAAGAATTCTGAGAGTTAAGAAGGGGCATGTGCAACTTGGAAAAAACCACAGATGGAATATATTCACTGATACATTTCTGCCCCTAAAAAATTTATAAGGAATGTATATAAATACATCCCAGGAAAAATAAATCAACATGTTAACTCTGAAAATCTCTCCTCTTCACTTATAATACAATATACTGATTCCGTGTAAGGTTAAAACAAAATACTTTCCCTGTTAACATTCTGGCTTGGTGATATCCAAGAAAGAGTTTGGCAAAAACTTGTACCAGTGCAACAGTGATTAGAGAACTGGAAACAAGGAAACCACTATGGCAGATATTATAAAGTAGTAAGAGGAACAGTGCTGACACACAGTAGGCATGCAAGATACTGTTAGTTAAATTAACGGATAAAGAATTAAAAATACACTTTCATATACACTTCTGAGCCTCGGCTGAGTGCTACACAAGAGTTTACTGGGAATGTTTCATCTCCTTGGGGCAAGGAATGAGGAAAGGTTCCCATTACAACACCCTTCCTTCTCTGATATGTCTTACTAGTTTTGGTAATAAAAAAGGCATTAAAAAAGGAGAGGGTATTGAGGGAGGGAAAAATCTGCTTGAGATTGTTCGGACTCATTGTCTTAAGTTTTCCCCCTTCTTACTGTTAAGTCCCACTTAATGTCTACTCTCCCCACCACAAAAGGATGCAGATACTTAAAATGATCACATAACTTGAATGTGCCAGAAAATCTCTCTTTTCCTTGTTATATACTATGTGCACTCAAACGTTATGGACTTCATAATGCCAAATGTAATGTACTCATTGGAAGAATCAGTATCTTAAAAGGATCTCCTCTGTGCCAGGCACTAGATTTTAAGATGATGAACAGACAAGAGCCACAGCCCTTTCCCCTCACGTAAATCACAGCCTCGTCGGGAATAGAGACATTAAACAAGCAAGCTAAGAAAACAAAATTAAATAAAACACATACCACAACACATGTAAAATCACAAGAGAAATAAATAGGGAGAAGTAAGCAAATGCTGAAGTGTAAAAAAAAGGATAGCAGGAGAGAAGGGATGCTTGAACCAAGAGGCCTACAGTAAGTCAGGTGGTATGAAGGTTTCCAGGCACAGAGAACATAGTATACAAAGGAATGATGCCAAGAGGGAACCTAGGTCGGTGGAAAAGAGAAAGAAGGCCAGTGAAGCATAGTTTCAACCTCATTGCCATACTAACTTCAATTTCACGAAGTTTAGCTCGTTTTTCCTCACTCATTTCAGAGTACTTAGAGAACTTGGACTCGGTCATTTCTTCTTTGATTGGATTAGAGTACAAATGATGTTCTTCTGATTTGGAACTCTGAGTATCTTCTTCATCTTCACTTTCTTCTTCTTGACTGGAAATAAGCAGAATATATCATATGTCAAGGCAGGAAAAAAAATGTTAAATTTTACAGTCTGGCTTTTTTATTTTTCACTGTCTCAACCTGTAAATAATGTTAACAAAACCTCTGTAAGAGGCCAATTCATTACTAAAACATTTCTAGAAAATATTTTACCAAATACTACAATTTTATAAAACTTACGTTTCTTCCACATAAAAATTTTTAGCTTCAGCATAATCACTTTAAGAAATTCTGTGTGTGTTAAATGTTATCTGTGTGCCTTTCATTCTGCAACAAACTTTTCTTGCAGTGTTAAGTGAAATGAATAATCAGGCAATGATTCCCCAAGTTTTCCAGTTAAGCATGAGTTTGGGAAGCCTAACGTTAAAAAAGCCAAATGTATTTACCTTTTCTTCAGCAGAGGCTATACATTGGAAAATACATGAGTTTGTGTCACACAGTTAACTATAAAATAATGTACCATGTAAAGACCTTATCTGATTAGCACATAACCCTAGAAATAAAGCAAAGTATAAATTTTAAGTATTATCACACATTAGTACTCATGTCAGAGTTGATTTTGAAAACTATACTGGTTCTACGTCAGCCAAGAAGAAAATGAAAAACTAAGTGATTGCTAAGGGTAAAGATACAAAGAAGAATATAATCTACCCTTCACAAACAATATAGTGGAAACAGATAGGCAAGCAACTATGTGCAAAGTTGGTCCTCACTGCTGGACGGAGACTGACAAAAATGTTCTTGAAACACAACTGAAGGGGCCCCCCAAAAAAGCTGTATGCTCTGGGACAGGGCTTTGTTGTGTACATATATGTCAAATCTGGGCAAAACATGTCATCCACACACAAACTCAGAATGTTTATGTATATACAAACAAAATTCCTTTTATAAACAATATTGATTACGACATATAAGCAGGAGTCCTTTCAGTATATATTTAAAGCTATTCATAATAATATGAAAGTAGTTACAACCAAATTTGTTCTAAATAAAAATAATGTGAGAGACTGATAACAGAACTCACAGAATGACAAGGAAAATGTAAGGAAGGCAGATAAAAAGAAAGTGTTCGCAATTCAGAATCAGAAATCTGGTATTAAGACTATGCTACTAGCTTTGTAATACCTTACCCAAATGTCCTTTCCTGAACATTACTAAAATGTTTTACAAACTTTATACTCTAAGAGCCCCACAAATCATTAGTACCACATAAAGATACAACTCACTACAATACTTAAAGAAGACAGTAAAAGGAAACTATTTCTAAAAAAACAATATTCTTTTTGGAAATAAATCTTTAACTTAACACTTCTCATTCATTTGTCAGAAACTTCCTAAATGCAGTTTTTAGTTAATTTTTTTTAAACATAAAGGGGCGCCTGGGTGGCTCAGTGGGTTAAAGCCTCTGTCTTCAGCTCAGGTCATGATCTCGGGGTCCTGGGATCGAGCCCCATGCTGGGCTCTCTGCTCGGCAGGGAGTCTGCTTCCCTTCCTCTGTCTCTGTCTGCCTCTCTGCCTACATGTGACCTCTGTCAAATAAATTAATAAAAATCTTAAAAAAAAAATGTTTTTTTAAACATAAGAATTTCTTGTTTTATGGTGCATAAATGCTTTACAAGTGTTTCAGATGCTTTTAAATGGTTAAACTATAGGCCTGAGTATGTGTAAATACAGAGGTTTGCTGTGATTATTCCAGAAAGGGTCACTCAAAAAGGACGAGACACAATTAAATTGTGGTATCTAAGCAATGGAAATTACTTAGCCAATTCCAGCCTGTTATTTACAAATTTTCAGTAATTTTTTTGCAAATTCAAATATTCCTTAAACATCCTTTAACATTTATCTGAATGCTTTCAATTAAAGACAAATACAGAGCAGATAACTATATGGATTGACAAAGAAAAATGCCCATGACACTTAAGTGAAAAATGGGGTCAGAGAATAGTATGTGCAGTATGTTATTATATAATTCATGCTTAAAATAGATATACATGGGGGCGCCTGGGTGGCTCTGTCATTAAGCGTATGCCTTTGGCTAAGGTCATGATGATCCCAGGGTCCTGGGATCGAGCCCCATATTGGGCTTCCTGCTCAGCGAGGAGCCTGCTTCTCCCTCTCCCACTCCCCCTGCTTGTGTTCCCTCTCTCTCCCTGTATCTCTGTCAAAAAAATAAATAAAATCCTTAAAAATATAAATAAATAAATAAAATAGTTATACATGTTTTATGTATACAGAGAAAGGATCTAGATGGCAAGGCACCACACATTAACCACATTACTTACTTTCAAAGTAAGCTACACTTGACAACCTGAAATACATATTCATTTTACAATTACTATTTTAATTTTTCAGGGCCCAAGCAGTCTGTTCTCATTGGCTTTGACTTTAGCTCTTAGTTACCAGTGCTTGGTTCAGATCTCATCATAGTTTCATCTTACTCTTTTAAAGAAATGAAAATTCAAGTCTATAAAACCATACATAATTCACTATAAATGAAATTAAGTTACTACTTGGAAGTTTTCTACAAAACAACAGTAGGGCTATATTTTCTTTTAATCACCTTTCTGCCATAAAAAATTACTAGTTTCAAAATGGCATTTTGGATTCAGCCACTAGAGAGCAGTAGTGATGCATAAGAAAATTTCAAGGACCAAAAAGTTGTATGCAAAAAAAATATCTTTTCCTTGCTTTGTACTTTCATAAAGTTATTTTTATGTTATTGTGATTTATTTGGAGCTCTTAAGAAAAACCAAAAATAAAAATTTTATTTCCTGTGATCCAGGCCTCGCTGTATAAACATGATTATTCTACTGTCAACACTAAAATGCAGTCACATTCCAAACTTTAAATATCAAATTTATGCAAAAAAAAGTTAATACTTTTAGAAACAAAACAAACTGAAGAAATATCCAATGGCCTTTTCTACCCTTCCTTCCCCCTAAATTAAATAATTATCTCATGAATACACATAATTATTTTACACCAGTGATGTTACAATGGTGAGATGTTAATAATGATGTATTACAGACATTAAAAAAAAAGGTTAAAGCATTATTTTAAAGCAAACTGGACTGTCTCAATTCCTGTACTCCTACTAAACAGCCCTAGAAAGGTATTTCCACCAAGAAACCACATCTACATTTTGTAAGTATTTTGTCACAATCACTGCTGACTAGTTCTGATCATCCCAATATTTCTGGAAAGACATCACTGTTGCCAAGTTTTCCTCAGCATATCAACTGTGCTCCCACATATGCTGATCAATCATATTTCCTTAACAATCTAAATGCTACTAATACCCACTTTCTGAATCCATACAAATACCTAAACTGTGCTGGGACACAAAACAGATTTTCTCCTTAGTTCACTCTTCAATTTGAGAATCATTAAAAAATGTTTTGTTTTGTTTTTTAAAATAGAAACCTCTGCTTTGTGTTCTTGAGGTCATCTGTTCTATTTAATAAAATCAACTTCCTTGCAATGATTTAAAAAGGTGTCAAGTTCTACCTAAAAACTACCAAGACAAACATGCCAGGAGAAACTGGGAGCAGTATTCCTAGAGTCACATTCAATGTTAATGCAAAAACAATCCTGGGGTGATCACCCAAGAGCAAAATTTCTCTACATGTTAAAGGAAAGCTTTTTTTCTGTTATTTATTCTTAGTTCTTTTGACATGTTTACATATAAATAACAGAATGGCCATAATGCAATGCTTAGCAATGTACAATTCAAATAAAAAGCAGCATAACTTTCCCATTCACATTTTAAAAATCACTTTTTGTGGAGTCAAAACAATACCTGATGACAAAGATTTGAAATAAATGCAGTTGACAATTTAGTAACTACCAACTGAGAATATATATATACCTACCATAGAAAAATCAACTCAGAAACAAAGTGAAACCAGATCCATCAAGACCAGAAGCCAAAAGCTCTTCGCTCACTGGAAAAACAATGACAACTAAAAATGATCCTTTCAACAAGTTTAAGAGTGAAGTTGTCCTCTTCACTATTATTTCAAGCATATCTCTTAATTAAAAAGGGAGCATATGTGCAATAAGAAACTAAGTATGTTTGAAACTTAGATTCTTACTTTTGATTTTCTTCTTCTTCTGATTCTTCATGCTGGTCAAATAACTCCCACTTAGAAGTTGTTACAGCTGAGTGGAAGGAAAAAAAAAAAAAGGGTGTAATTCCAAAAGGTAAATTAGCATTTTTGCAGTAGCACAGAAGGCCAAAATTGAAAAGTTTTAGAATTGAAACTTTAGAATTGAAAATTTATATTACAGAAGCATTAGAATTGGAAGTTTATATAAGTTTGTAAAAAGTTATTTACAATTATCTATTCTTTGAATAGCCTCTTCTATGTGCTAAATTTATTTCTTTCCTCACACCCAGGCTATAATTTTATTCAAATTCATGAAGTGACAAATAAGGTTATCATTCTTATTACTGTGCTAGGTGGTAACATTTATTTCATTAGAACCTACAAATGTTAACAATTACAGATATAAATACTAAGGACACATGTCCAAAGTAAGTATGAAAAGCAGGTCTAAACTGCAACTAGTAAGTCAAGCATTATAGGAAGATCAAAGCCTGGTTTCTCTAAAGTGACCTCTAAATAGATTTCTAAGTAGGTATTACCTCCCATCTATATTTTCTATTGAAATGCCTTAACTGAAAGGTTTTAGTGATTTCTCTGATTACTCCCAAAGCATCCAAACTAAAAGATCTAAGAAAATTGTAACAGCAACCATAATGAAAACTAGGCCACTAGACATAAAATAAATAACTGTGGGTCTTAAGGTTGAAACATTATAAAATACAAAAGACAAAACAAAACCAAAAACCCACACACCAATAATTTTAAGCACTCCATTTTTTAAACCTAATATTTATTGTACTTTTACTCACCTTGTGCTTCCAATTCAGATTCATCTACAGCTTCCCATTTTGATGGGGCAACTTTAAATATGGGCTCATTCTTCTTTGAGTCCTCAGTTGCATCCACTATTGAGGAAAGATAAGCCATTAACCCTGACAACTAGGGGATGACTAAGTAGTTCATGAGCATTCACTATATTACTGGAAAGTAAAATAAGGCCACACATGGACTAATAATGCTAGTGTCAAGAATTATGACTAATGACCTCTGCACCTGAGGTCCAAATTTTGAACATGTTATGTGTCAATTCAGAATATACAAGTTATTATGATTTCAAGCAAATGGGGAAGTTGTGGCATAAAAAAATCTTTATTATCTCTACCTAATTACTGTTTAAACTATACAATTCCTACACTGTTCAATCTTTTCATGTAATTCAAATGTACTAAAGATTATGTACACTTCCTATTTCCAAAAATGCTTTTAGGCAACTAGGAAAACTGAACCCATAAACTATGAACAAAAAGAGAACTGAAGAAACAAGGAATCTGGGATGATAAATAAAACTGAGCACAATATTTTGCCTACAGTTTTCCTGACAGTTAAGATAAAAAGAGAAACTTACTAATACTATACGATGTTGACTATCCCAACAAAAAGAAATGTGACAAGAAAATTTCTTTTCTTGACAGGGTCAAATGTATTATTGGGTATTTGAATTTTGAAAAGTCAGAAATAAGAGACAGAAAAAAATGGCAACTTAAACTTCATCGACATGTGTGGAAATTAAAGAGTTTTGGAATCCAACTTATTAGATCATCAGTTTGAAATCTGAACTTACAAGGCACTCCATCAAGATCATCATCAAGGCTCTTTATAGGGACCCCATCAAGATCATCAATGGGAGTAGCATCAATAGGAATTCCATCCACATCTTCTAGAGGTGCACCATCAAGCTCTTCCTCAATGGGGGCACCATCAAGGTCATCTGGTACATCCTACAGAAACATACACACTATTATAACATTTTCCTTTGCTTACTAGTCATAATGCTATAAGATTAATTTGCAATATAAGGAAGCTGAGAGGCAACATGGGGGTTTTGGGAGGTAGGAAAAGAATAAATGAAACAAGATGGGATCGGGAGGGAGACAAACCATAACAGACTCTTAATCTCACAAAACAAACTGAGGGTTGTGGTAGGGGGGTAGGGAGAGGGTGGTTGGGTTATGGACATTGGGGAAGGTATGTGCTATGGTGAGTGCTGTGAAGTGTGCAAACCTGGCAATTCACAGACCTGTACCCCTGGGGCTAATAATACATTATATGTTAATAAAAAATTTTTTTTAAAAAGATTAATTTGCAATCCAATACAAACCAACCAGCTGGATACCAACATTCCCAGGTACAAAGTGAGGACATATCTAGGATATGATTTATCCTCCTGACAAAGAAGCAGTCATTCTTTCATTATTTATGAAATATCTATCAAGTGTTTACCGAAACCAGGTATACCATGTAAGGGACTGACATACAATGATAAACAAAAATGAGTTTGTTCCCTTGGTTGTTCCTATAATAGGGCTTACTAGAATATTTTTTGCGGGGGCGGGCGGGGAGAAGCAGGTATATATATAATCACAATATGCAAAGAACCACTATGGTGACTGCTACAACAAAGAAGTATATCATAGTATTCAAGTGTGTGATAAGTATGTTTCACCTAAAGAGGTCTGAGAAGGCTCAATGAGGTTATGCTTAACTGACATCTGAAGGATCTCAGATAAACAGGAGATATTTTAGAGAAAGGGAGGAAAATTTACAAAGGTCTATGGTAGAAGGAAACATATATAAGAAACTGAAATGAGGACCATGTGCTTGGAATAGGGGGGCCAATTAGGAGGATCTTACAGGAGTGAAAGTGAAAATACAATTGGATTAGGATGATAGAAATGAATATAAAGGATTCACGAAATACTGAGGACATGGAAAGCCAACAGAATCACAATGAACAGAATCTGCTACCATTGTGGTACATCTCTTCATGTACATATTTATTTATATAGCTACTTTAATAAAATTAAATTGTGCTGTATACAATGCTCTACCACTTCTTTTTTCTACTAATACATTATCTATCTTTTCATGTCATTAAATAAAACACCAGTTGTTAGAAATCAATACATGGAGACCAAATGAAAATTAAAAAAAAAAAAAAGTCCAAAATCTTTAGGACATAGCAAAGGCAGTTTGAAGAGGGAAGTTTGTATCAATACAGGCCTACCTCAAAAAAAAACAAGAAAAGTCTCAAATATACTATCTAACCTTACATGTGAAAGAATTGGAAAAAGAAAAACAAAGCCCAAAGCTAGCAGAAGGAATAATAAAGACAAGTAGAAATAAAACAGAAACAAAAAGAAAAATTAAAAAAATCAATTAAACCAAGTGCCAGTTCTTAGAAAAGATAAACAGAACTGATAAACCTTTAGCTACTCATCTAGAAAAAAGAAAGGATTCAAATAAATAAAATCAAAAAAGAGAAGTAACAACCAACACCAAAGAAATCAAAGCATTATAATCAAAGCATTATAAGATGAAAAATCATCTGCCAACAAACTGGACAACAGAGAAGAAATGGATAACTTCCTAGAAACATACAACCTTCCAAAACTGGAATCAGCAATCAAAAGCCTCCAAATAAACAAAAGTCTAGGGCCAGGTGGCTTTCTAGGTGATTTTAATCTACAGATGCAATGTAATCTCTATCAGAAAACCAATAGCATCGGGACGCCTGGGTGGCTCAATTGATTGGGCTGCTGCCTTCGTCTCGGGTCATGATCCCTAAGTCCTGGGATTGAGTCCCACATCCGGCTCCTTGCTCAGCTGGGAGCCTGCTTCTCCCTCTCCCTCTGCCTGCTGCTCCCCCTGCTTGTGCTCTCTGTGTCAAATAAATAAATAAAATCTTTAAAAAAAAAAAAAAAACAATAGCATTTTTCACAGAACTAGAATAATCCTAAAATTCTTATGGAACCACAAAAGACCTCAAATAGCCACAGCAATATAAGAACAAGGTGGAGGTATCACAATCCCAGATTTCAAGATATACAAAGCTATAGTAATCAAATCAAGATGGTACTGGGGTGCCTGGGTTGCTCAGGCAGTTAAGCATCTGACTCTAGGTTTGAGTTCAGGTTGTGATTGTGGGACTGAGCCTGGCATCAGGCTCCATGCTCAGCAGGGAGTCTGTTTGTCCCTCTCCCTTTGCTCCTCCCCCTGCTCATGCTCTTTGCTCTCTGAAATAAATTTTTAAAAATTTATTTAAAAAAAAGGAAGATGGTACTGGCACAAAAACAGATGCACAGATCAATAGAACAGGATAAATACCCAGAAGTAAACCCACACTTATATGGTCAATTAATCAACCACAAAGGAGGCAAGAACATATAATGAGGAAAAGACAGTCTCTTCAACAAATGAACCTGAGAAAACTGAATAGCTACAATGCAAAAACACAACAAAACAAAACCGAACTGCTTTAGTACACCATACACAAAAGTCAACTCAAAGTGGATTAAATACCTAAATTTAAGACCTGAAACCATGGAACACAGGCAGTAATCTCTGGGGCACCAGCCTTAGCAATGTATTTATGGATATGTCTTCCCACGCAAGGGAAACAAAAGTGAAAATCAACTACTGGGACTATACCAAAATAAAGCTTTTGCACAGAAAAGGAAACTATCAACAAAACAAAGAGGCAAGCTACCAAAGGGAGATGATGTTTGCGAATGATATACCCAGTAAGGGGTTAATATCCAAAATATATAAAGAACTTATACAACTCAACACCAAAATAAAACAAATAATCTGATAAACAAATGGGTGAAGAAGCTGAGCACACATTTTTTCAAAAGACAACAGAGATTGCCAACAGACACATGAAAAGAGACTCAAAATCACTAATTATCAGGGAAATGCATATCAAAACCACAAGAAGATGTATCACCTCAAACCAGAATGGCTAGTATCAGAAAGAGAAGAAATAACAAGTGTTGGCAAGGATGTGGAGAAAAGGGAACCAGCATGTACTGTTTGTTGGTGAGAATGTAAACTGATGCAACCACTATGGAAGACAGTATGCAGATTCCTCAAAAAACTAAAAACAGAAATACTATATGGCCCAATAATTCCACTGGTGGGTATCTACCCAAATAAAACAAAAACACTAATTCAAAAAAATACATGCACCCTGATTTTTATTTCAGCATTATTTATAATAATAGCCAAGATATGAAGATAACCCGAGTGTCTACTGATAGATGAATGGATCAGATGTGATGTACACACACATACACAAATCGTTGTCATCAAAAAGAATGGATTCTTGCCATTTATGACAACAGAGATGGATCTAGAGAGTATTATGCTAAATGAAATATATCAGAGAAAGACAGTATGATTTCCCTTATACATGGAATCTAAAAACCAAAACAAACAGACCAAAAAAAAAAAAAAAAAAAAAAAAACCCCGACTCTTAAACACAGAGAACTGGTAGTTGTCAGAAGGGAGCAAAATAGGTGAAGAGGATTAAGATGTACAAACTCCTGTTACAAAGCAAATAAATCACAGAGATTAAAAAAAAAACAGCATGAGGAACATAGTCAACAATACTGTAATAACACTGTATGGTAACTATACTTATCATGGTGAGCATCAAATAATGCACAGAACTGCTGAATCACTATGCTATACACCTGAAACTAACAGAACACTGAATGTCAACTATACTTCAATTTAAAAAAAAAAAAAATGCAGGTATTAGGGGAAAGAAACCCAGTCACCCAGTTTTCACATAAGGTCACAAAACAGAATTCCTATTATACATCATTCTATCTCCCGGGCTCTAGCAATTCCAGAAACAAAAATCCACAAGTTAGTGATAAACAGTAGGTATTTTTCATAAAGAAATGTTACATCCATAACATACCACACCCCCATAGCATCTCCAGAAATAAATTCTAAAATAATCACACAAAGACACTGAGTACATACCTCTGTTTCCTTTTCTTCAATAATATTTACAAGTCCTAAGAAAATATTTTGTAGTTTGATCAAAAATGGTTCTGGATAAATTGCCCAATCCTCCCATGCTCTGAAGCAGGTCATTACCCGTTGCTAAATAAGTAGGAAAGAGACAACAAATATTAATTAGGAAAACACGTCTCAAACTTCATCTCATGAGAAGAGCCATGACAATTTGCTGAATTTTCCTTTAAACCAAATTCTTGATAGAAAATAACTATCATATTTTAAAAAAAATCACAAAGTCACCTTCTAACTAAATGGGAATAAAATCAGAAATAAATATAACAAGAAAGCAACAATAACTGTTTTGCTCCTAACCACCTAAGATCAATGTCCCCTACCACTAGTGGTACAAGAGGCCCCATCTGGGAATAATAACTTAGAAATTTATTAAAATTGGTACTAAGGTAGTTCTGACCCAAATTCTTTTATGGTCCAATGATGTACTTTCCTGATTCTGGCTAAGACTTTTTCTCTGTCCCATCCCTAAACTTTTCTATAAGCTCTGATTTATGGTCAAAATTTAAGGTCAAAAAATTTTTAAAAGGAGTTGTTGAAATTCTCTAAATGGTGGGGTCATTAGGCATCTTCCCAGTCTAAAAATTTCATTAATAGAATTCTTCCTCTCATGAAAGTAGTATCTATTTATTCCATTATATGCAAGGTACTTTGTTTAGCTTTTCTTAACGTTGGTCCACAGCTAAGAGATTATAAAAAGTAACTGAAGGTATCTTCTAAACATGAATAACTAAAATTGTGTTTCTACTCCAGCCTAATTATACATACCATTACAAAACAAGTGATGTTCTGAATGGTTTTTTGTGAAAAAACTAGTATGTAAAACATTTAAATATAAGACTTCAAACTAAAACACCCAACAAAATAACACTACATAACATATTTCAAGCTTTCAGGCTTTTTGGTACTGAAGATGAAATGGCAGTAAATTTTAAAGCAGTAATTTCTGAAAGATTCATGTTATGTCTTATACTTGTCCTATGTACTTTTCTAGCCCTCCAATATGCTTGCCAGCCCCTACCACATTTCACACTAGGGAAAAAAAACAATAAACATACCTTAAAGTTTTCAGACTGTAAATGGCCTTGAATTGTACGATAGGTAGCATTGAGGTCTGAAAATATCTGACATAGCTTTGTTTCAAAACTGAAATTCAAATAATACATATTTAACAGAGTTTATTTAAAAACCTCTATCTACTTCAGCATGCTATCCAATGAAAACCTCTCCTGAACTTAAAAAAGTATAAATAAATTAATCAAGTAATTCTTTAAAAATAAAGAACTAGGTACCTAAACTCTTAAAATTGTAACTGAACTCTTTATTCTGAGTTATTCTCCTGCAAAGAATTAGTTTCCTCGATTAACAAGAAACTACATTTTGGATACTTTATGCGACCTAAACTGATCTCTTTATGCTAGGAAAAGTGACTTGTCCAAGGCAAAAGAAAAAGAAAAAACAAACAAACAAACAAACAAAAAAAAACAAAAACCTAATAACAGCTAAGCTTAGGATCCAGATCTCCAAATTTCATTTCAGAATCAGCTTAGAGGAAGGTTTCCCAGATTCATAAAATAAAAACCAAAAACAAACTCTGAAGAAGAATTATATATTAATTACAATACAGCAACATAATTTCCTATTGACTAGGAAAACAATCACTGTGAACTACAAAATGATCAAAAGAGAACACAGATTCTATAAACGGTTTATATTCTATCTTTGGTCTCTTCCCTTATGCTTGCCATTATTTCTATTGTTTCAGTTTATTTACTACACAAGTGGCTAAATATGCAATAAAAATAAAGTTTTTTAACCCTTATTTGTTGTAATTTATCAAGAAACTGGTATGAAAACTTTCTAAACATTTAGCTTAAAGTGGTTCAATGAATGCAACCCCATTTTTCAGAAAATTCTATTAAACTAAGAAGAAACACAAATTATTTCTTATCATTGAAACTATCAATTAACCAAAAAAATCCTCTTCTCTGAATTCCTTACCCTTAATGTTTTATTTCAGGAATATCATCTTACACCGTTATACTTACAATTTTCTATAATATGAAGCATTGGCAACTTTGGCTGAAGAATTATACAAAACATCAGAAACCAAATATAATCTGGCAATCTAGAATACCAAAAGATAACATAAGAGATTAAAAATAAAAACCAGTAGCAAATAATGTATCTAGAAAAAATTCCATATTGAAATATTTTGCAATCAGTGGCATACAGCTAATGTTTAGCTATAATAATAACAGTTAATTACAAGAGTTAAGAAATTCAACATTACCAAAGCCACTACTTTGACAAGGATAAAATATGTTTCAACCTGTTGATAACCTGTGTACTGATTAACATAACAAGTTTCCCCAGACGGAGGAAAATTAGACCACATGGGAAAGATCTCTTCAGTCAAGTTCTTCATGCAAAAACAAAATTAAAAAACACCAATTTCAATAAAAAAGAAGTCAACTGTTATCTCTCTTTTACTTAAATAAATGTTCCAGAAAGAGAAATCATTCCCATACCTTTTTGGGGAGGGGTGTCTTTAAGATGGACAATGACTCAGTAATGCAATCCACTATTTCTTCGGCAGCTTCAGCATTATTAAGACAGAAAACCATTGCATCTCCAATATCATTTTTCCTTGGAGTTAACCCCCGCAGGATTTCTTCTAATTTGTCCCTCTGTCTGAATACAAATGTTTTTAACTTACAAACATTTACAGATAGAAACTTCAAATGTCATTATAGTTTCTGCTCACAAACTAATTTCCTTAAAACCCACTTGGATAAAATTCTGAAGACTAAATTGTATGAAGTCTGATTTTCAAGAGTATTTGAGTGTCCTAGTCCTATTATCCCATTACAGTGGGGGCGGAGGGGAAGCCTTCATGTTTTTTACTCTCTTTTGAAGGAAGTCAGTTACTTTAGCACTTCTGCATCAGATCAGAAACAGGCTAAAGCCAGTGGTGGCAAACTTTGCAAAGAATCAAACAGTAAATATTTTAGGCTTTGCAGGTCATACTGACTCGTAGTTACTTGACTCCACTGCTATTAACACCAAAGCAGCCATAAACCACATATAAAAGGCAGTTGGGGGGGCTGGCGGGGGGACGCAAGAAGTGTAGAGCATGACTGTGATCCAATAAAACTACAAAAACAGGAGGCAGCCAGATTTAGCCTACAGACTGAGCTTGAAGACCTGGGCAAAAGTAATGATGAAAATACATCTTCAGAAGCAAATATGCTTCAAATATATACAGCTCTCCATTAGCAAAGGCTCTCACAAACAATGCACCAGTGAAACTAATACTAAATTTAGACTACGAAGTGGAGTACATAATCCTACATGCCATGATCTTTTAGCCAATTTCTCCCCATGAGGTATACAGAACTTCCTTTTAATATTTAATAGTTATATCCATTTCTGCTTCTTAAACCAGACTAACTTCACTGTACCCATACTGACTGAACACTAGTAAGTATGTTCGCATGGTGGCCAACTTGGGGAAAGACTGCATAATCAACCATCTGACTTCACAAAGCTCCACGGTAATTTTTTCCTCTTTAATGTTGCATTCAGGGAGGCCAGAATTCTAAAGATCCCAAGATAATTTCTGTAAGAGTCACAAGTATTCTACTGCTAGAGAATCACTACTTAAGAGATTATCAGGGTCTTTTATCTGCAGGAAGAGACAGAGGTCAATAGGACACATACTTACACTTGCCAAGATGTTTAAAATAACTAAACACATGTATTTTAAAAACAGTCACAAGAAAAAACATTTTATTTTAGGGTTAACATCTTAGTAATAAGATCACTAATTAACACAATTTTTAAAGCAACTTTTCTTAATATGTAACAGGAAAAGAAAAAAATTCTTACTCTTCCTTAAGTGCTCCCTTTTTACTTGGCTCCTCTACAAAAGCTTCTGTTTCTTGCTCTTCTGACATCCCATGCAGGTATGGATTTAATGGTGGTGGCCTCCAAAAAGATCCATTTTTGAACATACGAAAATCTTCTGTCCGCCACTTAGTTGGAGAATCTCCCTAATAAATGTCCAGAATGTTATTAGGCAAAATACCTCAGAGTCAAAATTAACAAAGTAATTGATTCCACTTGCCTGCAGAATAGAATAAAGCTTCCACCTATAGTAAACATGGGCTGGTGTCTGGTTTTCAAATAAGAACCTAAAACAAAACAAACAAAAAATAAATATATTCTTTAACAAAGAAGTGTCTTCAATTAAACATAAACAAATAAGAAATACTATTTGCCTACCTCATTTGAAATAAAACCAAAAGCAAAGATCACTGAAGAAAAATCCTCATCCACTGCCTTCTGCCATCAATCCTCTTCCTCACCCTAGCCCCTACACTGCCTTTGTGACTGACATTAACACTCAGAAGGTATGTATGCATCTTATTGAGTCTTAAATCAATTTTATTGAATGCTTATAAGTCAGATATTATACCTGGCAATAGATTTTCCCAAGATAGACATTTCAAAAGCAGTGGTTTTTAAATGACTTAGTAGTGCTAAATGAATGTCTTAGACACCGTATCTGTTCAGAAGATAACCAATTTTCTACAAAGCTCTATTGTTCTACTAAGAATGAGTCAGTGAAAAACATGAAGAGTAGTGTCTTCCTCCTAGAGACTGCTAAAAACAATGTTATTTAAGTAGCCTAAATCAAAATCGGACAGAAAACTGACCCAAGTACATCCTAGTCTAATTACTAAAACTTCCTTCTCATTCCATTGCAAAAACAACTCCATACTTTTAGAACTTTATTCTCCGAAATATTTTCAGCTCCAAAAAATAAGTAAAAAGTATTTCTTAAATGCAAACCTGAGGATAAAAAAATTGTGGTAAATACATGTAATGGACTATTATTCAGCTTTAAAAGGTAAGGAAATTCTGACACACTCTTCAACATGGACGAACATTGAAGATATTATGTTAATTGAAATAAACAAGTCTCAAAGTACTAAATGATTTCACTTATATGAGGTAACTAGAGTAAACAAATTACAAGAGACAGAAAGTAGAATGGGGGCTACCAGAAGCTGGAGGACCCAGGGAATGGTGAGTTATTGTTCAAGGGGTACAATTTCAGTTAAGGGAGATGAGAAAATTTCTGGAGATAGACAATGGTGGTGATTTTCACAAAAATGTGAATGCACTTGATGCCACTCAACGATACCTGTTAAAATGGCAAAAACAGTACATTTTCTATTACATGTATATTTTACCACAATAAAAAAATGCACACCTGAACATAGGATTGTTGATTTCTCTGTTCATAATCATAGCTTCAAACATTGGCCCTTCACGTACAACAAACTCTATCATTCGGTGTATCAGGGCGAGCAAATTCCTACAACAACAACACAGTTAAAGAAAATGGATTCAGACCTACCACTATATACAACTATACTTGACCTAAATTACTATAATTGTGCAGAAAAAGATTATTCTGCTGACTAATACAAAGTTTTATACCTGGAGCATATGTTAATGCCTTGTGCATTAAAAGGGAGTGGGTCAATGGGGATAAGGTAGTGGGAGGGGAAGGGAAAATGAAGGGAGGGAGGGAAACCACAACACAGCTTCATAGCAATAAAGATTTTTTTCTAAATGCCACTTAATTTTATTTTCCAAATGCAAAACATTAAATTATGAATCACAACTAATTGGAAAGCTGCAAATATATAAAATGAGTAAACTTAGAGCTTACATGTTATCAAAGCCATCTAAAAACATACACACTATCTCAGTTTTAAAAGAAAATATTCCTAAACCAAGCACTTTTGTGGTGGTATTGAAATGTTATATACATTACTATAATTTAGAAAAAATGCAAAACTATTTAACAAGTTTAAGGCCTGATTTAATAAAAAATCCATCCAACTCTTGTGCTTTTCTGGTACACATACAGCAGATGGAGTTTTTATTGAATCTGACCTTTAATGAGGCAACATCCCTTTGGATCACACTTCAAACTGGTTCACACAACTCATCACATGTATAATTCTGCCTGCATACTATGACTCAATGAAGCAATTATATTGCCAAGGCCTTAAATGGAGTCCTCTTTCCAAAATATTCCAAAATAAGGGACATGGTGAGATGCCTCTCCCATTTTCCATAACAATTACTTTCCAATATTTAAGCCAAGAAGAAACCTGTAACTTTTTAGTACAGTCATTTTATTGGTTGGGCTCATAGAAAATCTTTATTTTTAAAATCTAGGTCCTAAAATCATGTGATTTAAACACTATTTTAGATACTGATTACAATATCAAGCAAAAATGACTCAGCTTATTATAAGCTGCTTTTGATTTCTCACTTCACCAGTCCCCCAGCATATAGACTAGGCAAATAGCAATTGGGAAAAGCAAAAGGATATTGGCTCTTGGTACAAGGCACACACTAAATTACACCTTTAGCATTCCCAGCTCAAATTAAGTTCATGTAATTGCTAGAATATAAATAAATATATAGTTATAGAATAAGACATTGTTTTGGCTCTATAATGCCCTGCTTCAGAGTACATAAACAATAAAATAATTTATTTCATGGTCATTGTAGTTTTCTCCCATTTCAAACAAACCTACTTAAATGGACACAAAAATCTCTAGTGAAAAAAATTAATTTTTTTGACCTTCTTTAGGTCAAAAAAATTATATGAAAGTTTAAATCTTTAATATAGGGGAAACTATATATTTAAAATTATTAATTCAACCTCAAATTTTTAAGACAAAAAACCAAAAGCAACACTTAATTTTATACCTAAAAATTACTTTTCTTTCACAGAAGTACTAATTATTCTGCAAATATGCAGTTCTTGTTACCAAATGACAATGTATTCTGAGCATCCATATAGTTAATGATACTATTTTGAGGGAAGGGAGATAAAGGTAAGTTATGATTCAGTTCCAAAACTCCCACTGGTATGTGTCAAATTAAAGTGAAGGGAAATTTTATATAAATATCGTAATATATAAAATGAATTACTGGAGAACAAATACTATCATCCAGAAACTTGTATGAATTAAGTCAAATGCAACTTGACTTGAATATTATAAATTAAAAATGGTTTAGCAAGTTTAAAACAAAGGATTCACTGTAATGGTGAGTTAAGACTTTTCAATAGTTTAGAAATAAGCTGAGCCACATGTAAAGCTACTATGGAATATGCTTTTTGAATACTACAAAAATACTTTCCTGTGAAGGCTTTATCAGTGGAAAAATAACCCACTATAGTTTTAAACAGGCTTGTAAACTGATAAAATGTATTTTTAGAATATTTAAAGTTTTTCATGTGATTATTTAAAATCAAAATCTGACAATTAGTTGTTGCTAACCTGAATTCAAGATTATTAAAAGAATTGTAATCACAATTTTTTCCTAAAGATTGTGTATTTAACATCATTCTTAAAAGGGTGACTTTTCTACCAGAATGAAACAGTGTAGTACAAAAAGATGATATATTTTAAAGTGCATTATTTTATTTTAAAATGGCAATTATCTTACTCTGGGCAACAATAACAAAAAAAAAAAAAAAAAAACCAAAAAATTGTCTCTCAGTTATAATAAACCACATTTATTGGAGTCGATCGTACCAATGTCTGGTCAAAAACTGTATACTTTCCCAATCCATCCCATGATGTTTTCCTGGTCCCCCGCTGCCGCAGACAGTTCAGCTGGTGTTGTTCACCAAGGCCAATGTCAAAGAGAATTTGGTATTCTTTTGTGTTCATTTATTATTCAACCAGTGTTGTGTTCCTGTGTTTGGGAAAAGGCTTAGCTTGACTGAGCAAGAGCATACCTAGAGCATGAATTCTTCTGCTTTATCATTACGTTGAAAAAGAAAAAAAAGGAAAATAAAAGAATTCCAAATACCTTTTGTTACCATGAAAAAAAATTTCTAGCCATGTTCAGTGTTCATAAGGATAATAAGAATTCCTAATCAATTAGAAAAAAAACAAAGCTATGCCCTTCAGTAAGGAGAACTCAAACTAAGGTTGCATATTAAACACAGATCATTCAGGAACCAAGACACACACACCAAAAAAAAAAAAAAAAAAAAAAGACTGGGTCAAATTGCAACATTACATACAATTTAAGATACATTTAAAACACCTATTTTCCCAGCACAATAGTCTAATATTATTAGACTAACAACTCCAGATTAAATCTATCAAACACATTCTAACTACTAACTTGCTATAAAAATCCCTACTTTGGTAACAATAAAAACAAAAAGATAATGACATAAAATTGCAATATACTAGAGTTAGTCAAATATCCCCCCCAAAAAGTACTGGGAAGGAACCATTGCTCAGTCAAGATATTACCTTTTCCTCAACACCATTTTTTTTTTTAATTCAGAAGGGGATATTGTCTATATTTAGATCAGTAATAATAAAGAAAAACATGTACCTTTCTGTTGGGATAACCACTTTGACTATGGCTTGCGACAGAGTCTGTATATGAAGTCACATCAGATAATAAACATAGAATATGTGAGTATTGTTAACAAGTAACAAGCAAAAATATACATAATGCATTGAAAACACTACACATCTAATCACAAGTTTTGCAGGCAATCACTGCATTTGAAGTAATTATACACTAAGCAATTACATAAATGCAAATGGATGTGTTCAGTGAACAATAAATGTTCACCAAATGCAAAGAATCAGAACATTCCTGCCAGAATGCACATCAATGCACTGAAATAGGTACTACACTGAGAATTATCAGATAAAGATTTTAATTTGTGAAATAATTAACTGTTTGCCTCTGACCATACAGTTTGCTACTTTGTTCCCAAGCCTTTAAAACCAGCCCTGTCATTTTAAGTGTAATTATTTCATAACAGAACCAACAAATTCTTACAAACTTGAAATTAAGTTGGTTTTGTGTTTAATAAAAAGAAAATACTCACCCTTTGCTTTTACTAGAGTAGTTAACTGCTTTTTAAAAAAACCACATATGCTCTCAAATACTCTAATACCTCAGATCTTGAGAACTAAGTTAGCTAGCAGCCATCCAAACAGTTTAACTATTTAGGTCTTTCTAAATGAAAAGTCACTTAACCAAATACAAAGTAACACTTTCTCAGAACAAAGTAAATTTAGATACTGCACTTAAGCAAACCTGGATACAATAGTGGACAAAGAGAAAAAAAACTTAAGTGGTCAAAAAAGGAATGGTAGCCACAAATAAAAATATGACCTAGTATTTCGATACAGGGTTTCCATGGGCTAAGGCAGGGAACACATCTACTTATTTCTTTAAGAGTTGTCAAACAGAATTACACACACATTTTCTATAAAATTATTGAAAAGAAATACTACCACAGATTTAGTATTTACAAATTAGATGCGGCCCTATGTACATTTTTTTAATTACCTTCTCAAAATCCTCCTTGTTTTTAGGTGGCGGTAACATTGGAGCATTGGGGTTTTTTAACCTCTCTCTAGGCTGCGCATTAAAAGGCAGTCCTGATGGAGGTGGGGGAAGCGTATGTTCCATCATAGAAGGCGGAATGTATATCGGATGTGGAGGAATAGGCACAGCTTTACCCCAACCTAACTTCATTTCAAATGACATAATCATCTTTCCTGCAAAAAAGAAAAGAAAGGTCACCCTGGTAATTCTCAAAAGAAAATATAAGACTTCTGTTAACTTGAATTAATTCCCATGTTTAACCTTTCCATTTTTGGTCCATTTTTTCCCTAGAGTTTTTATACTTTTCAGAACCAGAAAAAAAGTCTGAATTCTATAGTAAAGAAACAGAAACTTTCTTACCATTTAAATTTTTTAAAGCTCTTTCAGCATCTCTTCTATTCATAAAAGCCACAAAGCCACAATTTCTCTCTCTTGCTCTTTCTTCATCAGTTCTAGGCCACATAATTTTCACACTGGCTAATGGTCCAAATCTTCCAAATTCTTGACAAAGCATTTCTTCATTCATCTATTTAAAGGCATTAAAAAAAAAATACATAAATAAAAATAAAAGGCATAAGAGGTTTTTTGATATGCAGAAAAAAAGGGGAAAATCTATGCAACAGAAAGCAAATTTTTACAAAATGAAGAGTGAGATATATTAATGCTACAATTTTCCATTCAAGTACTAGGACCCTATATAGGTAAAAACCTTGCCCTCAGGGGACATTAACAAATATTTTCATACTAGAAACACAAGTAAGTGTTCAAGGTGAAGAGGCTGGGTGGCAAAAGAAAAAGTACACCTCTATATCCCCTCCTGCTCCTTCTGAGATCCTGCATCTAAAATAAGCTGTTCTTCACCAGTGGTTTGTTTCAGTCAGCTCTGATTATCCCAATTAAAGCAAAGAGAAAGTATATGTTGCTGATGAAAGTAAAAAAAAAAAAAAAAAGCACCTAATCACTTTTTTCCCCCCAGCACCCAACATAATTAAGAAGAGAGAAAAGAGAAAACAGTAAATACCCAATGAGGTCCAAAACATGTACAATTATGGGTGCCTGGGTAGCTCAGTAGTTGGGCATCTGCCTTCAGCCTCAGGTCACGATCCCAGGGTCCTGGGATGGAGCCCCATGTCGGACTTCTTGCTCACCAGGGAGCCTGCTTCCCCCTCTGCCTCTGACCCTCCCCACTGCATGTGTGCACACACATACTCTCTCTCAAATCTTTGCGGGGAGGGGGAACCCGAAATTTTTAAAAAAGAGCATACTATGTATAACAACCACCACTTTCCCCATAACACAAGCAACACTGAAGTAAGGAAAAAAGAATTCAAATATAAAAGAAGTACAAAATACTAGTCTGCTACGATGAAGAGAAAACTAGAAAAAAGACGTCCATTAAGGAAGCAAGCTATGCATAAGAGGGTAGTCTCAAAAGAACACTGTCCACCACTGGTCACATCCTGATTTGATAAATAAAATCAGTATACAGTAAGACATTTCAAATTCAGATAGTCTAGTTACAGAAAGGGGAGATAAGCCCTTAAGAATTGTAGCAAAACAATACCAGTCCATACCACTAAGGCTCAATTTTGTAAGATAATTTTTGAGACTTCAGTAGCCTTTAGGTTTCACCAAACTTGCTTACTTCAGATTCTTGACTTTATTTTTTTACTGACAAAGTAGTTTTCTTCCATAATTATAAAGAATATGAGCCAACATTCATCTAACTTTTCTAATATTACCTGTGGATTAATGTTTCCAAGATATAAATTAGTAGTGCTTGGATCTCCTACATCATGTGAGCCAGGTGCATAATCATCAAGAACTAGGACAAAGAGGGATAAAAAAATTATAACCTGCAAAATACAAGGTTTGGACAATTTCTATTAATTAAAAAAGCAAAAAACTGTATTACCACCAGATGATCTATTTCTTCTTGAAGGCGCATCCACTTTAAAAGAGGGAAAAGCAAACAAGTCTTAGTGTTTAGAATAGTTAATCACAAATATAAACATTAAAATAAATGCCACTTACTAGAACGACGCTGACCATCAGAATCTGACTGAGGTGGCTCAAATCGGCTTAACCTGCCTTTTGTTTTATGTCTCTCATCACGCTCTTCCTGAATTCTGTTGAAAACATTTATAATCACTAATAATGAGGCAAAAGTTATTCATTCACATTTATTAAGAATACAATTTATCCAGGTACTATGTTCATATAACTTGAAATACTTTTGAGTAATTAAATGCCAGTACCAATAACCAAGATGAAAGAGTCCCTCAGCTATAACAATCATAAGCAAATTTTTGGTATGTCATGCAAGCATTAGAATACAAAGCTCACTTCTAAGGTGAGAAGAAAATTCAACAATAAAACATTAAAACAAAATTTGTTCTTTCTTGGTTAAGTCTGCTCACTCCTCAGTAACCACATTGTTTCCACTGCAAACAGGACTCCGGACATTAGATAAATCAACTGAATTGCATCCATATTATGCTACCAACCTAGATGCTGAATGGAATGCTAATTCATTTTCAAACATACCCTACAAAAAGAAATCACTACAATTTCTAAAACAACCTCATCATAGGTTAAGGCCTTTAGTGATAACTAACTGGTACTCTACATTCTTCATACCTGCATCTCTAAGTATCAGCTCAATATACCTATGACAGCCATTCTCCGCACTATAAAACTTACTGTTTCAATTCTTCTTTGAAGAGTTCCAAATTGCTTTTTTTCTTTTCCTTCTCCCCTTTCTTCAGTGGCTATGAAGGATATGACAAGTTATACTCCAAACAAAACATGGTCAAACAAAACTAATGGTTCAATAATCAGATCATTTTAAATAATTTTTGAGTACCAATTATGTTCTAATTATTTAAATTAAAAAGAATGTCTCTGTTCTCACTGTACTTCCTTTTCTCTTCAATTAAGAATTTAACAATTCAATTATTAAGGCAATTAAAGAAAATGACAACCAGTAGTCTTAAAGTAAAGGAGCCACAAACTATCTCCCAAACGCCTGTGATACTTAGGCCTCAACACTGTTAGAGGGAGCAAAACTAAAGAACATAAAGTAACTGAACTGACAAGTGACTGCCATGAGCAACCATCAAAAATATGCACTTCTTCAAAACAGTCACCTTAGGAGGACTATGAATTATTAAAATAATCAATAACATCTTGGAACGCCTCTTTTAAAACTGCTTTTGAGATCCCTTTCTTAGAAGTGCCAAAATAATTCAATGGGGAAAAACAGCCTTTTCCAGGGACAATGTGAGAACAATCGAATATCCACATGCAAGAATAACTGAAGTTGGTACTCTTCTCCACACCACACATAAAAAATTAACTCAAATGATTCATACACCTAAATTTAAGCACAAAAACTATAAAACTCTAGGAGAAAAACATAAGAATAACTCTTCCTGACTTTGAAAGAGGCATGGTTTCTTAGATATGACATCAAAAGCACACCTGACATAAGAAAAAAACTGATAAACTCAACTGCATCACAATTAAAAACTTTTGTGTTTCAAAGGATACTATCAATAAAGGACAAAGACAACTCACAGAATGGGAGAAAACATGTGCAAATCATATAGTTGATAAGAGACTTGACTCTAGGAAGTGTAAAATGCAACAGAAAAGACAACAAATAGCCCAACTAAAAAATGGGCCAAGGATCTGAAAGACATTTCTCCACAGAAGACTACAAATGGATGATAAACACATAAAAAGATGTCTGACATCATTAGGGAACTGCAAATCAAGACCACAATTAGGTACAAATTCATACTCACTAAGATAACTAAAATTTTAAAAACAGACAATTTTAACAAGTGTTGGTAAAGACATGTAAAAATTAGAACCCTCGTAAGGATGCTGATGGGACTGTAAAATGGTACAGCTAATCTGGAAATGAGTTTTGGCAGTTTCTCAAAAGGTTCAACAAATAGTCGACCATTTGACCCAGCAATTCCACTTCTAGGTATATGTAAGAGAACTGAATACATAAGTCCACAAAAAAGGCCTACGCACAAATGTTTATAGCAACATTACTCATAATGGCTAAAAAGTGGAGACAACCCAAATGTCAAGTGATAAATGGATAAACAGTATGTGCTATACCCATAAAACAGAGTATTATGCATCTAAAAAAGGAACGAAATACTACTATATGCTAGAATACAGATGAACCTTGAAATATTATGCTAAGAAGTCAGAAACAGAAGGCCACATGTTATATGATTCCATCTGCATGAAATGTCCCAAATATGCATATCCAAACAGACAAAAAGTAGATTAGTGGTTGTCAGAGGTAGGGGATGACTAAAAATAGTTGTAACGTTTCTTTCTGGGAAAATAAAAACATTCTGAAATTAGAGATTAGTGATTGTTGCACAACTGTGAACACACCTTAAAATAAAACTGTATTTTAAAAGAGTAAATTTTATGGTATGTGAATTACATCCCAATAAAACTGCTTTTTTCCACTGCTTTCAGAGCTATTTTAAAAGTCACAAAAAGAAAAGTCAGTCTCACCATTCAGTGTAATCATATTTCTTCACCGAGTGTGGATCCAAATGAGATGACTCACATCTACCTTCTAACCCCCATGAAAAATCCCCACCATTTTCTGACACTGAGAATATTTAAAAGAAAGTACCACTAGTTGACACTAATTCCAAAAATGTTGTAGGCAAAAGATACATTATTGGAATACATATAGTCTTCCAAGATAACTGCCACTACACATGTTGATATTATTTAAATACCTCAGTTCAGAATTGCTTAAAAAGACAATCCCATTATATTTATACCTAAAATATAATCAACATTTTACTTATTATGACTAAAACACCAGTAGTTCACTGTTCAAAGAACATGAAAAGAATACTGTCTACATGCTGTACTCTAACTTATTATCAATTCTCTAGGAAGATTAAATACCAAAACTCAACATCTACTCCCAAAATAATTAAAACAAGAAACCAAAGTCCTGCTTACAGTGAAGTACTAAAAAATCATTGGCACTATCATCTCTGAACATAAAAAGTCACTTATCTGGGTATGACTTACAGGTTTTTTGGTTTCTATCACAAGAAGAGATGGTGGTCTTTCATTGGATGACTGATTTGGAGGATTTTTTTGATCTGCAAATCTTGAAGAGGGCTTATAAATTTTACCTCTTTTTTCATCTGTTTCATGTTCTTCTGAAATTTAAAATAGTTAAGTTTCAAGACTAATTTTCAAAAATAATTTCCTATTATTTATCATTTTTATTTAAAAATAAACAGAAATTAGTAAAATGCTTTAAGCACTAAGCTATATCACTACTGACAAAATATAAAGTTAAATTCATATTACCACCTTAACTCTCAAAAATACTAATAAAACTATGAAATATATTAAAATTTTTGCAAAGTGTTTTGCTGTATTCAACAATGAAAGGTACTATCTTCAAAACTTATCTGGTTCGAATTTCTCATTAATATACATCTGGCTACTTATCCTACTAATTAATAATTAGTATCAACACTAGAGGGTGCTGATAGAAAGGAAATGTGAAATTCAAAAGACAACAAACATCTTTCATAATTACCTACAATCATTCTACTAAGACATTTTGGGTTTGCTCAAGGACTATGATAGTCACACTAACCTTTAGCTGCATTAACAACACCTCCACGCACAAATGTCTTCACTTTATTACCATCACTTCCTTCAAAAGCGGCAAGAAATTCCTCATAAATCTCAGCAGCTGCCTTTTCATCTTCCTAAAAACATATGAAAATATTAATACCCTTCGTACGAAAAATATTATTGTAAACAAGGCAAAACTCATTAAGGAATAAATAAACAAAATCTTTCCCTTCACTGGGAAAAGCAGGTTAGGCAGTCCTAATAGGTAATATCTAATCTTTAGCAGATGTTAGATACTAATTAACCTTGAAACTAAGAGACACTTTGATCCTCTATTGGCAATTTATGGAACTAGAAAAGGAACCACCAAGTAAATTTGTTTAGAGACATCAAGAATCAAACTACAGGACAACTATGTAATACATTACTCTTTTAAGGTTTTTGATGTTTCCAAAGCATGATGATTTAATTCAGTGATAATAAAGATTTCCTTCACAAACCAAAGACATGAATATCAGAAGTTGAGCAGCAATTAATTCCACAGTTTGCATTAGGAAAAAAGCTCAAAAGAACCTTAACAATTTCATTGTTAACTCTTCACAATGTCCCCAAAACATGTATGCATAAAAGGCCAATGGAACAGACAGAAAATAGAGACGTAAATCCAAAAACACTTGGAAATTCAGTATTCAATAACAGAAGCATCTCAAATCAATGGAGAATAGAACGACTTTTCAATGAATGATGTCAGGATGACTATTTGAAAAAAAGATAAAAATGAACCAATTCTTCACATCACATACCAAGAGAAACAGCAAATGAATCAAATTTAATTTTTTAACCTGAAACTCTTTAAGGGACGCCTGGGTGGCTCAATTGGTTAAGCATCTATCTGCCTTTGGCTGGGGTGATGACCAGAGTCCTGGGATCGAGTCCCACATCAGGCTCCTTGCTCAGCTAGGAGCCCGCTTCTCCCTCTGCCTGCCATTCTCCCTGCCTGTGCTCTCTTTCTTGCACACACTCTCTCTGACAAATAAATAAATAAAAATCTTAAAAAAAAGAAACTACAGGGGCGCCTGGGAGGCTCAGTGGGTTAAGCTTCTGCCTTCGGCTCAGGTCATGATCCTGGGGTCCTGGGATCGAGCCCCACATCGGGCTCTCTGCTTGGCAGGGAGCCTGCTTCCCTTCCTCTCTCTCTGCCTGCCTCTCTGCCTACTTGTGATCTCTCTGTCAAATAAATAAATAAAAATCTTAAAAAAAAAAAAAAAAAGAAACTACTGAAGTATTAGAAAAAACATAAGGAAATTCCTTTATAAGCTAGGAGTAAGAAAAACACTGAAAACTAGAAATCATAAGGGAAAACTGATAAATATGATTACATAACAATAAACAGTTTCTGCATGGGAAAAAACACCATAAGCAAATAAAAAGACAACTGACAGACTGGGAAAAAACACTGCACCTTGCGTCATACAAAGACAAAGTATTAATATACTTAATATACAAAGTTTCTTTAAAAAATAGTACTACTAAATTCTAGAAAAAATGGTTTACATAAAAGCAGACAGCTCACAGAAACAAACATAAAGGCTGTTCAACCTTACTTACAAAAGAAATGCAAATTTAAAACTGCACTGAGATACCATTTTTCACTGAGCAGACTGCCAAAACTTCAAAAACATCCTCTGTGGCAAAGCTATATGGAAACAACCTCTCATACATTACTGAGAGAGATGCAAAATGTCCCTGCCCTTATAGAGAGCAATTTGACAATATCTAACAGAGCTACATTTATACATTTACCATTCAACCCCATAATCTCACTTACAGGAATATATCCCAAAGACAAATTAGCAAAAAAAAAAAAAAAAAAAAAAAAAAAAACCATGTGCATAACACTATCCATTAACACTATCCATTAACAACACTATCCGTAATGGCAAAAGACCAAAACAAAAATGCCCTTAATAGAATTTTAGTGAAAAATTACTATGTCTACACAGCTATTTAAAAACACAAGGAATATTTCATTATACCTGCAGTAATCTCTGAGATACAATGTTAAGTGTAAAAAGAAAGATGGAGAAAAGTACAGTGGATATAGCATATTACTGATCACCTAAGAAAGAGGAGTATAATATCTATTTACACACATTTGCTTATACAAAAAGAACAGACCAGAAAAGAGCCAAATCTTACACAGAAGAGACAGTGGAGGAGACAGGGATACAAACTGAACTCCTCGAAATGTACCTTGTGTTACAGATTTGACTTAGTGTTGGGAGCTGAGAATACCCTGGTCAAGAACCTTTGAAAATGGGCACCTGGGTGGCTCAGGTCATGATCTCAGGGTCCTGGGATAGAGACCCACATCGGGCTCACTGCTCAGCGGGGAGCCTGCTTATCCCCTCTCTCTGCCTGCCTCTCTGCCTACTTGTGATCTCTCTCTCTTTCAAATAAATAAATAAAATCTTTAAAAAAAAAAAAAAAAAGAACAAAAAGCCATTTCTCTACTGTCCGTGCAGCAGAGAACACATTTCCAAGGATAACTGAAAATACAATTTAAACATTACCTTTTTCTTTAATTCTTCTTGCTCCTTCTTACTTAAAGTTCGCTTAGCCGTACTCATTTTTCCAATACTGAAGGCTTTAAGTTTGTTTTCTAGAAGAGGCTATGAAAAGAAATAAAAAGCATACCTTTACAAACACATTCTTAATACTATCTATTAATACTTAATATCTATTATACTTAATACTATCTATTAACTGGTACAGCTCAAATGATAACCAAGTATTCAGATTAGATGACTTTTTAAAAGAAATTTCACTGTAAAGCAGAGAAACTGAGACTACTCTTAAGCATCAAGTGCCTACCTTGGGCTTGATTCTAAATCTTCCTTAAAGAATGTCTTCATTTGCTAGCTCAAGGCCGGTAACATACAAAAACCATTATCTTTATAAAAAAGGTTAAAAACCAGAGAGAGAGATGCCAAGGTTTAGAACTCATTCAACCAACGTGCCGGCAGCAAGAATAAAAGCACTTGAGAAAAAGTAAAGATGGTTCTGGGCAAAAGAAGCAGTGGTGGAAAACAGACATTCAAATAGGGAAAAGGCAGCATTTATTTCCAAGTTCAGTAGCAGGAATCTAAATGCCATCTATAACCTCCATTTCAGGTACCACAAATCACATCACTTCCTTCTATAATTCAGTAAATTAACTCATTCTTCATCAACAATAGTGATGTTTATGAACATAATAGTAATATTTCAGGTTTCAGCAGAAGTAAAATCATCCATAGATCTTTAGTTGTTCAGTTATTCATTTAAATGTTAGATTTTGATTCATAAACTTAAGAGAGTAATGTCTATTAAATACACCCTAAAATATTAATCTGTAGTTGAAATCCGAAGGTTTTGCTCTTGCCTACCAAAAAAAGAAGTTAACCAATTAAAGATCAGGCTTTATCAATCCCGTTTTTTTTTTTAAGATTTATTTATTTGACAGACAGAGATATCACAAGTAGGCAGAGAGGCAGGCAGAGAGAGAGAGGAGGAAGCAGGTTCCCTGCCGAGCAGAGAGCCCGATGTGGGGCTCGATCCCAGGACCCTGGGATCATGACCTGAGCCAAAGGCAGAGGTTTTAACCCACTGAGCCACCCAGGTGCCCCAATCCCCTGGTTTTTAAATAGGCCTGCCCCAGAGAGAAGCAGAACAGAAGACTAACACTGCTACAAATTATTTTAAAGAAAATTACTTTGAAAAAATAAGTTTATAACCCAAAATGAGGTTTTACAAATAGAGTCAAAGTAAATTTTTTCCCCAAAGTAGAAAGAAAAATCTTTGGTCATCATTCAGCATCTTTAAGCAAATGGTAATATTACATATAAATTCAATGAAAAACATAGTTTTACAAAACAAAATCAGAAGGGTTCAAATTTTATTTATCTATATTCTAAGAGGTAAACTTACACACCAAAGAGAAAAATGGTTAAGGAAATTACAGAATGTTTACATAAAGAAATACAATCATCCATTAAAAAGTTTCAAAGAGGGGCGCCTGGGTGGCTCAGTGGGTTAAAGCCTCTGCCTTCGGCTCAGGTCATGATCCCAGGGTCCTGGGATTGAGCCCCGCATGGGGCTGGCTCTCTGCTCAGCAAGGAGCCTGCTTCCTCCCTCTCTCTCTGCCTGCCTCTCTGCCTACTTGTGATCTCTGTCTGTCAAATAAATTTTAAAAAAATAAATAAATAAAAAGTTTCAAAGAATTTTTGCTAAAATTAAAAAAAACTGAAAAGAGGTTTTTTTTTGTTGTTGTTGTTTTTTGAAAAGAGTATTTTAAAATGTATTCCTGGGGTGCCTGTGTGGCTCAGTGGGTTGGGCCTCTGCCTCCGGCTCGGGTCATGGTTTCAGGATCCTGGGATCGAGCCCTGCATTGGCCTCTCTGCTCAGCAGGGAGCCTGATTCTCCCTCTGCCTCTCTGCCTACTTGTGATCTCTGTCTGTCAAATAAATAAATAAAATCCTTTAAAAATAAATAGATAAATAAAATGTATTCTTGTAAAATGGATCTTAGTAAAGTAAAAATATATTTATGCTTAGAATATTATACCATAAAAATAAAGTGCTATCAATGTTAATACTGGCTGGTGATGACTGCCTTCTTTATATTTCCAAATTTAATTTTTATTAATTTATTAATTCCCCAAATTTAATCACAAGAAAAAGTATATGAAAAAGAAAAAAAGACTAAAAGAGCATGAGAACCCTTTGCAGATACACGTAGTAAAGAAGCTCCTTCTCTGGGTTCTCATACTGCCCTGGGCACCATACTAACCATACTGAATAGTACCTATCCCTCTTTAAATCCCACAGTGAGACTATAAGCTCTCTAAGAGCAAGAACTGCGTTTTACCCATCTATTTATTTCTCGTGACTGGCATGTGGTACTTGGTTCAGTAAGTGTTTGGTATAAGGGAGGAACAATAAATCTGACCATTAACCATTTCATATCCAAAACACTCCTTGGTTTTTTGTTGTTGTTTTTTAATATTTTTACTTTTTTTTTCCAAGATTTCATTTATTTATTTATTTGCCAGACACAGAGAGAGAGAGAGAGAGAGAGAGAGAGATAGAGAGAGCGCGCGAGCGTGCATAAACACAGCAGGCACAGTGGCAGGCAGAGGCCAAGAGAAGAAGCAGGCTCCCCAAGGAGCAGGGAGACCGATGTGGAACTCTGGGATCATGGCCTGAGCCGAAGGCAGCGGCCTAACTGAATGAGCCACCCAGGCGTCCCACTCCTTGGTTTTTAAATAAAATTTTAAATTTTGCAAGAATCCTATCTCATATATAAACAAAAAAAGGCGGGGGGGGGTGGTGTGCCTGAGTGGCTCAGTGGGTTAAGCCTCTGCCTTCGGCTCAGGTCATGATCTCAGAGTCCTGGGATCAAGCCCCATATCGGGCTCTCTGCTCAGCAGGGAGCCTGTTTCCCTCTCTTTCTGCCTGCCTCTCTGACTGTTTGTGATCTCTCTCTCTCTGTGTCAAATAAATAGATAAAATCTTAAAAAAAAAAAAAAATTTCCTTACATGAACTTGAGTCCATCATTAACCCAAATACAAAAAAGAATGCTATTTTCAAATAGTACATGATGGAACAAACAGTACAAAACCAAAATACCAATCACCAAGTTCTATCAAGGACAGATTAAAATCATTAATCCTTTCTTATCTTTATCAACACTCACTCTTGAGAGATTCTGATGAGGAGAATCACAAAGGCTTTCACGGGTACTCTCATTTCTATAATTATGTTTTCTTGGGCTCTTAGGTCGTGTCCGACTTGGCATGTCACTCTCTGAGGGTCCAGATGCATCCATCTTCAGGAAAAGTGAAACAAGTTTTTAAAATCACTTACGTAGTACTAAAATCACAAATAACCCAAATGTCCAAATAGTGACAAATTTCACTATACACTATCAAAACTCTCATCCCTTAATATCACCAATGATTTCATCAGAAAAGTTATTCAGTACAGGTAAAGTCTTTAATAATTCTAACTTGTACCTGAAAGCTCGAATTTTATATCAGTAACAAATATTGTTTTCTTTGAAGTAACAGGTCTGTTTTCTTCATTTTTAAAGGAACATCTGCCAAATACCCAAGTCTGATTTACCAGTCTGTCAGTTGTTTCTTCAAGTAAAAATGGTATGCCAGCAAAAAAGGGGCCAGTTTTCATTTCTCAACTTAAATAATCCACCAAGCACCTTTCCTCAAGACAAACATACTTTGAGAAGTAGTGCCTTATACATACTTCCCATTTCAACACACAAAACATAAAAAAGACCCACACACAAGGATAAAATTAAGCATTAATACCTGTTACTGCTTCATCAAGAACAGTTTTAAGTGAAACTAGCATATTTTTACTTTTACTGTGCCAGGTGGGGAAGAACACAATGACTACTAATGCATTTTGACAACACTGGCTTGATTCATGTTAGATGCTAACAGTTTACCCATAGACTGCCTTTTCACCACGAATGCAAATGTCAACCTGATCAAACAGCCAAATGTCTTTTTATTATTATAAAATAGCTGAACTCACAAAACCCAGGAAAAATTCTCAGTAACCCCTAAGAGTCTGAAAGCCATACTTTCAGCACTGCTTTAATAACATGCAAAGGAATGTTTACTGAAGAACTGTTCAAATGTCAAAAAGCTTTAAGCAAGTATATGCCCATCAAAAGAGATACAACTTAAAAAATCATGTGTACTTCTCCCTATGGAATATTACAATGCCAGCAGAAAGACTATATTAGAGCCTTAACTGTTGACGGATTTCCAACAGGTATATCATGCAGTGAAAAAAGAATGAGTGCATATAACACAAACCATAACCAATGTACAAGTATAAACACTTGTATATGTACAGAACTTTATAAGCACAATAAAAAAACAAAGATACATACATACTTGGTTACTAATATGGTCTGAGGGGGCAAACTTATACAAATAGAACACACACAAAAAAAGAGGGCACCTAGCTAAAAACATGGTAGAAAACAGAGACAATATAATAGTATTTATTTAGCAAGTAAAATCATAAATGTAGAGATACAGAGAGAAACTAAATGTTAGAGAAAAAAACGAAAGATAGCTGGCTGGCTCGGTCCATGTAGCATACACCTCTTGATCTGGGAGACATGAGTTGGAGCCCCACAATGGTTGTACAGATTACTTTTAAAAAAAAGAAGAAAGATACAGATTGCCTTTTATACTCACATGTGCATCTGAAGACCCAGATGAATGAACATCTGATGATCTGGTCTGCAATTATTAAAAAGTCAATATTTAAATGATCTGAAAATATATTGTGCTAACAAAACAAGTATGTCTCAAGTTACACAACTTAATCTTCCCAAACTCGAAGCAATTTCGCCTCAGCTAATAAAACCGGACAAAGGAAATCTAGAACTTAGAAAAAAAATTGTGATCTAAAATAAATGTGCAAGTCAATTCTTTAAAATTCAGAATGCCTATGTGCCAAAATATGATACAAATGAGAGTGGGAGATATTTGAGGAATCAACTTTTTAAACTGTAATCTGGAAACTTAACCACTATTTTTATGACAGATTTTCCTGCAAAAGCTCTTTCCAAGTCCTAAGATACACTGTTTACTGCCACAACACTGACAGAGCAGCAACTCTTGTTATGCAGCAAAGAAACTTCCCTTCCTTCTTCCAACTACCCAGTCATATAAGAAACCGATTCTAGTAACAAGAAAATCCACACGTAAACCGTCAATGTAAAAGGTACAAATGCTACTGCAGAAATAGTTCAAGAGAAAGAAAAGGCTTTTATCAAATCGACTGCTGATTACCATTTACAAGTTGTTTTAAGGAGACTGCTTCTAATTCAGCATGCCATTACTGCTGACTGTTGCACAGAAAAAGTTGTCTTCAAATAATGGTACTTTCCAACAATGTCAACTGTTAAAATCTCATCTTATTTTTCTTAATTGATCTACAGATCAAATTACATATGGCACGCAATATTTTGTTTTTTTCACTATGCAGACAAAGAAGCCAAGCTGCAAGACTATTAACTAAATAACATGTGGCATCTGTCCCAAATTTTTACTTGGCAGTCCCAGAATTTAACTGTCACTGAGTTGTTTATATTTTGCAAAGTATTGGGTAGTGAGATTTTACTTATTTTTATGTATAGTCAAATATTAAAAGTGAAACCAAGAATCTTAACACCACAAATATCTGACACTACCTCCAAGTTCTAGATTTCAAGTAAAATGCACAAAACATTATATTAATTTTTAAAAGAAAATTGAAGATTTGTAAGATATATAAAAGACCAAATACAGCAAAACTCATGTAAGTCTACACATTATTGCTTTACTTACCTTCTCTAAACTTAAGGCTAAGAAAAGCTGGTCAGATTTTCACTCTGAATCAATTTGTTCCTCTGAACTCCACTGTGCTGGGCCCTAAGCAAAATAAACTCAAGACAACCAAGCACTGACATACCTTCCATCACTATTCTATCTTTTTCTATATCCAACTTTATTGTATGCTTCCTCATTTACTTCCTCCTCACATCTAACCCAAGAAGAAATTGTTTAATATTTAACTTTAATTCTCTGAAACACACTGTGAAACAGTTTGAAATGTGCCTATTTGCACACACTTAGAAATTAGAAAATCAAAGAGAATAACTACTCTTAAAAAGAAAAAAAATTCAGTCAAGGCACTGAACAGATTGAGAAAAAAAAAATCAACTGCTTGCCAATATACTAGTATAAACCTGCTAAGTTACAAAAATGATACCCTAACTGCAATAGTCACAAGAAGTATAAAACATCTAGAAACCAACAACAAAAAAAAATGTACACAACCCGGGTGAAGAAAACACAAACTTTACAGAAGGATTCGGTTATTCAAGTCACCTTTTGAAAAGACCCATCATACTACTGGATGGGAAAATCCATTATTAAGACAATGTCAATTATACCCAAATTTATTTACATATTTAATGCAATTTCATTCAACAGCTCGATACCCCCCAAAGGAAAATCTTTCCAAGGGGGCATAGGGGTTGCCAAAAATAATTCTAAAGTTCACCCGGAAGAATAAGCCTGCAAGAGCAGCTAAAACAGTGCTGGTCTTTCTTCTAGGTCACCATATCCAAATCATCATCTCTAGGATTTAAAAATAACAGGGGGCGCCTGGGTGGCTCAGTGAGTTAAAGCCTCTGTCTTCAGCTCAGGTCATGATTTCAGGGTGCTGGGATCGAGCCCCACATCGGTCTCTCTGCTTGGCAGGGAGCCTGCTTCCCCTTCTCCCTCTGCCTGCCTCTCTGCCCTACTTATGACCTCTGCCTGTCAAATAAATAAAATCTTTAAAAAAATAAATAACAATAAAAACAGCTTATGAAGATGCACAGCTGATTTCAATTAACCTAAGATGGCACCCTGGTCACATTTACTACAAACCAGACGTTTTCCACTGATTAGCAGCTATAATTACACAGCGTTTAAAACGGGAACTCTTTAAGCCTAAGAGTTAGAGAGATGAAAATAGTACTAAGATTTTTAAAATAACCAACTTCTAAAACCAATGGTCCAAGTAAACAGTAAATATAACACTACTTCAGAAGCTGAACCTCTCCCTCTTCGTAACCTAGAACTGACTATATTATTTGTCTTGGGTTTGGTTTTTACGTTTTTTTAACTAAAGAACAACAAATTAATGATGCTTTCAGATCTTTTGAAGTCTAGAGCACAGTTCTTCATCCATAAGAAAAGACCCAAAAGAAATGAATCCGCAGAATTAAGGGAAGCTTAGGACAATAAGAAGCAGACACAAGGGACACCTGAATGGCTCAATTAGTTAAGCTACTGCCTTCAGCTCAGGTCATGATCTCGGAGTCCTGGGATCAAGTCCTGCTTCTGGCTCCCAGCTCTGCAGGGAGTCTGCTTCTCCCTCTGACCTTCTCCCCTCTCATGCTCTCTCTCACTCTCTCTCAAATAAATAAAAATCTTAAAAAAAAAAAAAAAAGAAGAAGAAGAAGAAGAAGTAGACACACGACAAATTTATCTCAGGATAGAAAAAGCAGACAGTAGAGATGTAGTGTCCTCTGAAGCATCAACTTACATGTCCACAAGTTTAACAATCTCTCCCACAGGAAGCACATCAACACCTTTATTTTACTGAGATGACTTCTAATTCTTTATTTTCAACCTTAGTCCCTCTCCTAGGTTCTAATCTGCTTTCAAACTACCTCCTGAACATCTTCACCCGAATATCTGCAAGCTCCTCAAACTCAACATATTTAAAACTCCTTCCAAAAGCTTCTCCTATTGACTTTATTTCTGACAGTGGATTGTATCTCTCACTCACTCATAATATGGAAGCAGTAAAACGTTTTTAAGAGCACAGATTCTGGAATCAGACTTCCTGGTTTTAGCACTTACCAGTTTTGTAAACTTGGCCCTATTTCCTTCATCTGTAAAGCTGAATAGCACCCTGCCTATAGGATTATTGTGAAGGACAGAAACAGGTAAAGCACTTAGAAAAGTGTCTAGCACATAATAACTACTCAATAAGTGTTAGCCAGCAACAGCCTTATAACAGGATCATCCTGGACCCCTGTATCCCCTCATAATGACGTAAGTCAAATTCTGTTCATCCTGCCTCTAATACAGCTCTTCTATGGGGACTCTTCTCTTCCTTTCTAAAGACACAACTGTGGCCCAGCTCTTCCCTTAATTCAACCATTTACTGGTACTATGACTTACATTAGATATATAAAGTAAAATAAGACATACCTCCTGCCTTTAAGAGCTAATAATAGAGTAAAGTAAAACAATGGTCACTAGAGAAGAGGAGAAAGGCAAATCTTAATGGGAGTGGGGAAGAAGTTAAGAAAGCTTCCCAGAGAAGATCTGAGGTGAGATTTCTGCAACAATCCTCAATCTGGAGCACTATCTATCTGGAGCACTACAATAATCTTCCAAGTGGTCCTCCTCACTCCCAAATTCTTCCTGAAGTATACCCCCAAGAATTCTTTCCTAAAGGACTTTCCTACCTCAAATTTTCCATGGCTCTCTAATTTTACTCCACAGCATTCAAAATCTCCACAATTTATCTCAAACTTATCTTTCCATCTCAGCAACTTGTATTCCCTATGCAAGTGATCTATGCACTGACTAAATGAGATCACTTACCTATCCATTTCCCAGATTTATTTTTCTTTACCTCACCCATCTCTTTTTATATCCCTATCTCTATCCTTCAAACCTCTGCTCATTGTTGAGAACTCAAATTCCTTTTTTTTTTTTTTTTTTGACGGAGAGATAGAGAGTACAAGTAGGCAGAGAGGCAGGCAGAGGAAGAGGGAGAAGCAGGCTCTCTGCTGAGCAGAGGCTGGATCCCAGGACCCTGGGATCATGACCGGAGCCGAAGGAAGCCATTTAACCAACTGAGTCACCCAGGCACCCAAATTCCTCTATTCTTAAAGCCTTCTCCTTCCCACCCTCCATTTAACCAGCTGTCACTTCTCTCTAAACTTTTAGATACCTCTACTTCATGCTATTATCTGTTGACTTTTCTTCCACTAGACAGCACACTCCCCAATTTGTATAGTCTCATTTAATATTTTCTTCTCAAAGTCAAGCACAAGATCTGCCAAGTGATGGAGCCTCTATATATTGGTTGACTTTACCTACTAGAACAAGTACCTACCCAACAAAATTGTTACACTCCACTATCAACATACTTTGCTTTCCACTCACTAACAAGTGGCAGCCACCTACTTTAATATCACTCTCCAAGGCAAACCAAGGGTCACCTCTCAAAAAAAACTTTATAGATCACTAAGACATGTACCATGTAACATAAAGTTAAATAAAAACCCGAAATTACTTTTAAAGTTATATTCAAAACACAACCAATACACGAAAAGTTGTAAGTACATTTGAATATCCCATAGTTAATATAAACTGAGGAAAGTCTAGTGAAAAAATTTAACTCCTAAAGGAAGAGACAGCTAACAGTACCAAACAGCCTTGAGTGCTACTGGCAAACGCATCTTGCTTTTTGAAAAATTATTTCAGCACAATATCTAACACATGTCTGATCTGCAATATTAAAACTACTTAAAAATAGAATGAGGCAAGTTATTTGTAATATTAATGTTTTCGAGTTTAATATCCTGTAGCCAAGTTTTTATTTTATTTTTAAAAAGCAATGCTCTTTGTGAAAAAGTGGTAGAGAGGCAGCAGTCTTCAAGTTGCACACCAAATGAACCCCTCTTTCATATGCCACTAAGGTAAAGGAGAATGTTCCATGGATTTAGTTTCCAGGAAGAAAAAAAATCTTCAGGAATAAAAAAAGAAAAGAAAAACTGGACTTTCAGAAAACAATTAATCTAGTAAGATGGGAATTTTTAAAAACCATATCAAGTGTGACATTCAAGAGGTGCCTGGGTGGCTCAGTCCTTAAGTGTTTGCCTTAGGCTCAGGTCATGACCCCAGGGTCCTGGGGATGGAGCCCTCCATTGGGCTCCCTGCTCAGCAGGAAGCTACTCCCTCTCCCACCACCTCTGCTGTGTTCCCTCTCTCGCTGTGTCTCTATCAAATAAATAAAATCTTAAAAAAAAAAAAAAGTTACATTCAAGCACCAGTGCTGTAAATACTCTAAAAGAGTATCAATCAAGAAAACAGAAGTTCATAATTCAACTCTCCACCCAAAAAAACAAACTTCCACCCACAAAACTATCTACCTTATATTTTAAGATAAAATTACAATCATATCATAACAAACTTTTAATCTAAACTAAAACTAGCAACCCATGAAGAACCTAATTTTCAAGATTTGTTTCATTTAGAGTATTTTATCATATTTAGGACAACCATCTCAGGTCCCCTCCCTCCTTGGGAGCTCTGTACTATCACTCTGCTGTCACTCAATAAACCTTGTTTTATTGCCCCCCCCAAAATAAAATAAAATAAAAATAAAATTTAAAAATAGAGTATTTTACGATATTTAAATCTTACGTATCTTTAGGTACCAACAAAAGAATATACACAAGCAGTAATAAATACCTAAGGATCAGAAGCCTTGAATGTATCCTCATTTTACTTGTTTCTTAGAAGTAAAATACTTTCATTAATCAGCAATCAAAACAGTTCCCTAACCAATTCAGCACTAAATGTCTAAGGAAGCCAGCAATATCTTCTACCTGTTCATATACCTAGCCCAATTTCTGACAATATGGCAAAAAAGAAATATTGTCACAGAGAGAAATAACAGGACACATAACTCCATTATGATCACAGTATATCCCATACAGAAAATGTAAAAAGAAACTACCACATTTACTTCATATCCTCATTTTCTGTGCCAGCAAACAAAATTCTTAAAATCAAAATAATAAACTAATCTTTATAAATTAAATTCTAAGGAAATATGTTTAACAATTTTCTAAGGAAACAATTATTCTCCTCCCAAAATCAATGCTACAACATGGCACCAACAGCCCTCTCCTATTCTAAAGCAATACTTTAATCTGGTAATAAATAAATGAATAGAAAATAATTACAATTAAGACACATCAAATAATTTTGCCATTATCAATAAAGAAATCCTGAATACTGAACATTTTATTTTTAATTTATTTTTATTGAAGTACAATCGACAAAATTATATTAGTTTCAGGTACACAACATGATTTAGTATCTGTATAGATTATGAAATGATCACCACAGTAAGCCTAGTTAACATATTTCACTATGCAGAAATTTTTTTCTTGTGATGAGAGCTTTCAACATCAACTCTCTTAGTAACTTTCAAATATGCAATACAGTATTAACTATAGTCACCATGCTGTACATTACATTCCCCTGTACATTTTTAAATTAACATTTTCCTCAATGTGCAGAAATATGATTAAAAAGCATCCCAACCTATATCAATGGGAATTTAACTACCAAAGAAGAGTGAGCATGAAACAAAAGAATCTGTTCATTCCATCTGTACTATAGAATACATCACTCATCTGATCTCCCAGAGGAAAGAAAATCAAACCACAAAGATCAAAGGCTAGAAATTCCAAATATTGTAGTATTAGCCAAAAAGATCTGATACTCTCTCCAATAAATTCTGGACTTGTGTGAGAAACAAAGCAGCAATGCGGGCAGTCATTATATGATAGTTGATGACTTAGATTCTAAACCTTAGGATTAGAATTTATCCACAATTTTGAAAAGTTAGTACTTTTTAATTCCTGTAAGGACAAAAAGTAGAGGGAAAAGGAACAAAGATTATGTACTTCATAGACATTTATTCATTTAATCCTTACATCAACCCTGTAAAAAAGAGATTACACCCATATTACAAATGAGAAAACTGAGGTTTGAGAGTTTAAGCAATCTGCCTTATTACCACAAATATAGTCAATTACCAATTCAGGATTTGAATCCAAATGTCTTTTGTTTGTCATCAAAATCTATAATCTTCAACTGTATCATGCAGCTCTTCATATTAATGAAAAAATCACATCAACATCATTTGAGTCCTGAGATACTCTGATTCCTTTTACAGACATCAGTAAGCAATCTCTTAATAGCGCGAACGGATGATAATCTAAAGCAATATATAAACTGAAAAGATTTATTATTGGAAGATCCAACAATTTACTTATAGGAACAACCACACAAAACCATGAGAAATAGTATTTTAGAAGGAAACCTGAACATATACATTGAAATGTTTTCCATGTATCCAAGGGGTCAAGTAGGAGATACTTAAAATATTACTTTGAAAGAAACTAAAGCTGTGAAACTTTTGTGCAAATTATTAAGGGTGTAGTAGCATTATCAACAGTTCCCTAACAGCAGCAAGCAGGGCTGTTTTTGTGGCTCTGTGAGGTAGTGACCTGAGCGATGTACCCAACCATTCCGCTCAACACCAAGGGAAAGGTACTGGAGAGGGAAGAAACTGACAAGGAGTAAAAGTAGGATGTAAAAACAGCCAAAACTGGCCCTCTACCACAGTTTCTACAAAATTAAAGGATGAGGGGTAAAGACATTGCTAATTACAAACTAATTATGAACATCATTCACAAAATATAAAGATTATGATTTATTAGACATAAACCAAATATAAAATGGGTTGTGATTAGACATAAAACAAATATAAAATGGGTTGTTTCTCAGAACAAACTAATCGCAGGACTCGCCCTGTCCACCCTAAACTTCCTAATAACCGATTTATAATCACTCTGCAAGATTTAACAGTCCCTAAAGCCTTTAAGTGTTACACAACTTCTTGCATTAGCATAAAAAGCTTAATAACTACTTCAGGCAATACCTATTACTTTTAATATCGTGTTCAAGATGAGAAACTAGAAGTTAAAAGAAAAAAAAAAAAAAAAGATTAAATGACCGGCCCGAGATGGCAACTAAGACCTGATGCTAACCACCACCTAACTACTGTTAAACTACTTCTACAGCTCAGTGGTTTCACAATTACGTGCACACGGTTCCCTGTTAACTCAAAATTAATTTAACAGTTTTGAGTGGCTTCCAAGTCTTTGTAAGTTCTCTTTTCAGTGGAACACACAACATGGAGATGCAGGAAACCCTGAGTCCTTGAAATCGAACACTCAAAAAAAAAAAAAAAAGTGCTCATTTTATACTTCCTCTTAAGTGAGGTAAGACCACGTGTAGAGCGTAGCAATAACCTTGGTGATGCAGCTCTGCAAAGGAGAGCTGCTCCCGCCTCTGCACTTCCCACCCCGCGTCCCTCCACCATTGGTCCTCCCCTCACAACTTGCAGCCCTAGATGTTATTTACTCCCCGGAGGGCAAGAGGAAACTGAGGGACACCGGAAGCGTGTGAGATCTAAAACCAAAGAACCGAGGAAAGAGAGGCAAACACTTAAACACAGGGAAGCGATTCCCGCCTCTCCCAAGTGCTGTCCGGCGGCCTCAGAGATCAACAAATACAGGGGCGCGTTTTCACGGCTTCAAACCTCAGTCTAAATCCCTGACTTCACTCCAATGCCAAACGCAGGCCGAACTAATCAGGCCACCCACCCCGGGTCCGCCAGTCTCGAGCCGAATCCAGGCTGGGACTAAAGGGAGACACCAGGCCTCTCAACCTGCGCACCACAGTGCGTCGGGCCCCGGGCCTACAGTCGTGACCAGAACATGGAATCCCACCCCAACCTCCTCCCGCTGGCCAGAAGCGCCTGTAGGCCCCAGATGACAGTGATAAACTCACTGACTTACGAAGTCCTCTAAGAAATTACCTTCGAACTGGCCTTCTGAGATCCGCCTGGCGTTTTGTCCGCCATCTTGAGCTTTGCCCCTCCTTCGGCGGCCGCAGCAGCACGGGCGAGTCGAGCACCGAAAGAGTGGATCTCAGTGGAGCCCGCCAGAGGCGCCTGCAAGACTGAATAGTCGACTGCCGAGATAGGGAATTCGGGTGGAGCTGTGCCACGTGACTTCCGGTGGCGGTAGTTTCCCCGACCTAGACGAGTTCGCAGGGTTTAGTGGGTGTTTAACCTGGCTGTCTTACGTCCTAGAATTTGGAGAATCTCCTTGTGCTGACTTTCAGGGCGGGCTGATATTTCACTTTTTTCCCCAGTGCCCGCCGTTGATAGGTGCGAGCCAGTTGAATTACCTGGGTGAGGAGTGAACGACTCCTTAAAGATAATACGGACCGGTCGGCTAGGGAGCTGATTGGGGGCCCCGCGCTCCATGTCCAAAGACGGCGTTCGCGCCAGCTCCCGGGCTTACGCCTTAATGTGAAAGGCAAACCTGGAATTTGCTCAAGTTAGTTTTAGACAAACCAGTACCTGGAGAGTGGAGAAAATAAGCATTGACCCAACCTGAGAATCCGGCCATGGAGTTATCCGATACACTGTTAGGGTGTCTACAAAGTGGGTACATGCAGAGAGAGGGAGATGGAGAGAAAATCATAGACCGTATTCTAAATCTAGCATACAAGTAAGGTGTGTACCATTTAAAATTACATTTCCTGCCTTAGTGGTTTCATTTTTAATCACATAAATGGAGAGGTGCACCATAAACTTTACTTACCAACCACCTTTTTAAAGTTCTTAATGGGATCTGTATTCAAAGGAGGAAAGCTTGGGGTGCCTGGATGACCCAATGGGTTAAGCGCATCTAACTCCATCTCAGCATAGGTCTTGATCGCATGGTTGTGGGTTCAAGCCTGGCATTGGGCTTCACACTGGGCATGAAGCCTACTTTAAAAAAAAAAAAAAAAAAAAAAAAAAAGGAAAATTTGCTTGAGAAGATCGTGCCTGAACTGAGCCAGGCAAGGAAAGTGGAAAGGGCATTCCAGATAGAGGGAGTAGTTGAAATAAAAGCCTGGGGGGTGGGGGGGAGCCTAGTAACATGAATCAGTACGGCTGCTTGTGCAGTCACCATACACAGACAAGTTTTATTAGAAGAGATACAGAGAGAGTTGTGGCTGGAGAGATGGATGGGAGCAAGTTCACATAGGGCCCTGAAGTGAGCAGGTGCTTAGGAATTAGAATCCTAGTCTGAGATGAATAGTGGCCTTCAACAGGGTTAAATAGGTCTGTGATGTCAGACTTGAAGTTTTAAAAGATTGCTCTCAGGACTGTAGGAAGGGAAGAAAAATTCATCTATTCAAAATATTTTTGAGCCCTGTTTTGTGTATAAAATCCTGTCCAACGTGTTGAGAGCCTTACAGAGACAAATAAAAAATCACTGCCTTCCTGTGATTTAGAATTTAAGAATGGGGGAAAGAAAACCAGAATTAAATTGATGCTGCAAAGAGAAACCAAAGAGGGGGAGGACCCTGAAAGAAGTAATTCTGAGAGTAAGCGTTGGGTAAAGAGATGGGGAGGTTTCACAGAGAGGGGAGCATTTGAGCCAACTCTGAGGAAATAAACTGTCGTCTGCCGGTGGGGAGGGGGGGTGTTGGGGAAGGAAGGGAGTTTGGGTGGCCATGAGCAAAGCACTAATTACAGGATCTGATCCATGGCAGGTCCTCAGTAAAGGTGAACACTCATATGTACCTGGCAATGAGGAATCAGCAATTTAAGGCTTCTGTGTGAGCAAATGGGGATGGAAGAACAGACAAATAAGCAAACAAGAAATGATCAGAAAGTGACAAGTGCCATGCATTAAAATTAAATTGGAATGATGCTTTGCATTCTCCAGTCCAATTGAATTTATTTCCAGTCTCAGGTTTTATCACACTTTTTCACTTCCGGGCTTTTTCTCCCACCCTCATTCTGGTCTTTAATTGAAAAGTAAATCAATTTTACGTTCTTACCGAAGATATCACTTTCTCCAGGAAGCCTTAAAGCTGACAGGAGGGAGATCCCCCAACAAGCCTAAGATAGAGACTCTGCTTCTGTTTCCATAGGAACCTAACACTTTCCCACTCAAAATGCTCATCAGACTGGACCTCAATTGTTTACAATCTAGGGTGAGAAAGTGAAATCACTGGGGTGCCTGAGTGGTTCAGTTGTTAAGAGTCTGCCTTCGGTTCAGGTTGAGATCCCAGGGTTCTGGGATGGAGCCCTGTATTGGGCTTCCTGCTCAGCGGGAAGCCTGCTTCTCCCTGTCCCACTCCCTCTGCCTGTGTTCCCTCTGTCATTGTTTCTCTGTCAAATAAATAAATAAAATCTTAAAAAAAAAAAGAAAGAAAGAAAGAAAGTGAAATCATCAGCTGAGATAAAGGAAGAAGGAGGGTGGGACTGGCTGTGCCTCGTCATGTTCCTGCAACGCTGCAAGCTGATTTTGTCTACAAAGTGAATAAATGCATGCTTTTCATTCAAATCCCCAAAGTTCTACTGCTCACAAAAATAATTTTCGCCAAATGTTTACCCCTAAAGAGTTAGAATAAAGGAACACACACTTCTTTCTCTTTTTCATACAGTAAAGTACCAAAGAAAGCCGGACAAATGTGACCGACAAAAAGTAATACATAGGCTTTTATTAAGGCCTAATTAAGTATACATTTAAAAACACAATCACGAATATAAGCAAAGCTCTCCTCAACACATATATGTCATGAAATCTTGCCCCTATTACTCAAACCACAAATTAAGGAGGATGGCATAGCATGAATCATCCAAATGGAATATGACACAATCTGAAATTTTTAATTAGATTCACGATTACTATGGCCAAGGGACTACACATAAGTAGTAAGAAAATCATACAATTTACTACAATTAGAATTACTTTTTACAATCACACTAAAACCATGCTCTTTTTCTCCTCCCACTGTGCTGGTGGTTCTCTAGTCCCTGTCATCTGCTTTAAAGGGCTCTCCCTGCAGCTATGTTCAACAGGGATTGCAAAGTAGTGCCAGGTGGGATCCACAAAGGCTTTTGTTTGGTTCAACCAGGAAGGTTTTTTATTTTTTAAATTTGAGCTAGCATTTTAAAATTCAGAGATTTTTATGTTTTTATGCTCAGGGTTTCCAGTGTTTCTTGAAAAATGGGAAAGTCCATGGGATGCCCGGGTGGCTCAGTCAATTAAGAATCTGCCTTCAGCTCAGGTCATGATCCCAGGGTTCTGATACCGATTCCTGAATCAGGCTCCAAGGAGCCTGCTTCTCTCTCTCCCTCTGCTGCTCCACCTGCTTCTGCTCTCTCTCTTTCTCTCTCTCTCTCTCAAATAAATAAAATCTTTTTAAAAAGGAAGAGAGAGAGAGAAAAAGAAAAGAAAAATGGGAAAGTCTGGCAACAGTTCAGTAGAGATGAGACACAGCGACCTTTAAGGGAGCTGAGCACTCCAGTTCACTAGACCTTCACCACACGTGTGGTGGACAAATGCCGCACCCTGGCCTGTTTGTAGGCATTTGAGTTTTCTACCTCTCAGGTACAGTTTAAGTCTTACTAGTGGTGATGAACAAAATGAGAATGACTTATCCATCAGGCACAAAAGACTCAGTGCCGAGGACCCACAATACTTTCAGGGACCTTCCAAATGTTAAATTTCTTTTAAAATAAGAGAGGCGGAGAGGTGGATTAGAGAGACTGAATAAAGGGGGCAGCATTTAATAATACACACAAGGAAAGAGAGAGGCCTTACAAACGATTGCCCCAACGCCAAAATCCCCTGTAGTGTGCCAGTGGACTGTTCCTACCTGGTGGCACTTTCATTCTGCAGAATTTTTCTTTTAAGATTTTATTTATTTATTTGACAAAGAGAACACAAGCAAGGGGAGCAACAGGCAGAGGGAGAGGCAGAAACAGGCTCCCCAATGAGCAAGGAGCCCAACGTCGATCCCAGGACCCTAGGATCATGACCTAGGCAGATGCTTAACAACTGAGGCATCCAGGCGCCCCTCATTCTACAGAATTTTTTATGCAGTTTCTTCCTGCTCTCTAGACTTCAAGATAGAGGCTGGTGAAAGCACAATCCCATCCATTTGTTTATTTGGCAGTTAATGAATTTCTAGCATGTACTAGTGATGAAGGATAGTTAGAAGGCAGGCAGGCATGGAGAAGGGGCCCCCACTCTAAGAGGATTTTAAAACCCTTAAAAGGATTTTACACCACCTTGGAAGAAGCCCTCCATCTTTTCCCCTGTGATAGATAACAAAAACCTGGTTGGATGACAGGCACAGGGAGGGTTAATCAGATTAAAACAACACGGCCAGCAAGCCCATAAAAACCCCTGGACTTAGAAACTCCAGTGTCAACCCTCTCAGGTCCCCTCCCTTCTAGAGAGCTTTGTACTATCACTCAATAAACCTTGTTTTGCTGCCTTCCACTCTGTCTGGTCTGCCTCTTCATTCTTCAAAGCAACGTGACCGAGAACCATGGGCACTGATGGAGAAAAAAATCCTGTAACACCAGGCTCTGAAAAAAGATAAAGAGGGAGAGAGAAACAGCTAAAAACCAGACTTAGTTCTTCCTCTAAGAGAAATTTCAGCTGCTTCTAGGAATAGTCAGGGAACAGCCTTCAAAGAGGGTGCATCCTGTGTGAAATTAAAGATTCTTTCTGATAAACTTGACTGCCTGTCCACCCCACAATGCTAGCCTGACAAGATTTCAGAGGTAATAGCGGCTTCTCCTCCCCCCCAACCAAAAAAATACTACCCGACTTACTTATTGATGATATCTAGAATTCCTTTGATAATAGTAAGTAGCAGAGGCTTTTTTTTTTTTAAACTAAAAATGCCTAGAAAATGAAAGATACGTAAGGGGCACCTGGGTGGCTCAGGTCGTGATCCCAGGGTTCTGGGATCGAGCCCCGCATTGGGTTCTCTGCTCGGCAGGGAGCCTGCTTCCCCCTCTCTCTCTGCCTGCCTCTCTGCCTACTTGTGATCTCTTTCTGTCAAATAAATAAATAAAATCTTTAAAAAAAAAAAAGATACGTAAAAATGGTGTCAACAAGTATATAGCCCAAGAAT